TGTAAAGATTATGGTAGCTGCAGAGTATATTATCCCAACTGTGTACTCAGAAAGTGTGGAAATAGCTACAGAATGAGTGAAGAATTCCACCAGCTCTATCTTGGTCAAATTTCCCTTTAACTGTCATAAGTCCTCATTTTAACAGGTAGACCACAGCAATAACGATTTAGGTATTATTAGCTCAGAGCCAGCATCTAATAATCCCTGAAAGATAAAGGTATTTGTCTTTCCCGAGTGTACAATTGTCTTAGCAAATGGCTCAGCAAATACACCCACTCTAACACTGCCTCCTCTGTCTGTTGAGGCTGTTCCTGGCTTGCTCAGAAACCCTTTTTGGTGATATCTGCAACTATAATCACCGGTGCTGATTTTCGTAATTTTTTTTTTAATACCAATATTCTGGTCACATCACAGAATCACCTTGCAAGGAAAAGCCAATTCTTCCACCCCTACCACACTTCACTGCCTCCAAATTTATAATCAGAGTCAAATCTCAGCATGTCCCAGGGTCCAATTATAAAGTCATGTGCACATGTGCATGCACGCACCGGCAGGTCTGAGCCAGAGATGATGAGCAGGAAAGTCAGCTTGAGGGGACTGGAGAAAAGCTGACTGCTGGGCCCATATCCTTCCTTGCCTCTTTTTGTAGGAGCGGCCAGGGCTGCTGGAGGACAACCAACCTCTGGCTGTTCCCAGGCTCCTCACCACCCTCCCCCAGCACAGAAGAGATACCCAGTGAATGCCTGGTAAATGCACCTAGGAGGGTATTAATAGAAGCAGCAATTCTCAATTCTGGCTACACATTAGAATCACCTGAGGAGCTTTAAAAACTCTCCTGATAACTGAGGCTCACTTCCAGAGATACTGACTCCATTGGTGTGAGACTGGATAGGGGGAGGGATTAGCACATTGGTATTATTTTTAAGTCCCTGGAAATGATTCCAGTTGCAGAAATCACTGAACTAGCGGGCTAGATAAGGCAGTGGTTCTCAACCTTGGCTGCACGTTGAAAACACCTGGAAAGCTTTTTAAAAAACTGATGAGGGCCTTCCCTGGTGGTGCAGTGGTTAAGAACCCGCTTGCCAATGCAGGGGACACGGGTTCGAGCCCTGGTCCGGGAAGATCCCACATGCCGCGGAGCAACTAAGGCCACGTACCACAGCTACTGAGCCTGCACTCTACAGTCTGTGAGCCACAACTACTGAAGCCCGCATGCCACAGCTACTGAAGCCTGTGCACCTAGAACCTGTGCTCCACAACAAGAGAAGCCACCGCAATGAGAAGCCCACTCACCACATCAAAGAGTAGCCCCTGCTCGCCGCAACTAGAGAAAGCCCACGCACAGCAAGAAAGACCCCAAGGCAACCAAAAATAAATAATTAATTAATTTTTAAAAACTGATGAATCTCCAACCTAAAGAGTTTGATTTAATTTTTTAATTGGTCTGCCTGGGTATTAGGAGCGTTTAAAGCTTACAGGTGATTCTAATGTGCAGAACCATTAGGATAAAGTTGAGAACTTTTAAGAGAATGAAATCATCAATATAGTCATTGTTTTGTAATAACTTTAAATGGAGTATAACCTATAAAAATATTGAATCACTATGTTGTACACCTGAAACTAGTATAATATTGGAAATCATCTATACTTTAATAAAAAACTTTAAAAATATGGAATTCCCTGGCAGTCCAGTGGTTAGGGCCCGGGTTCAATCCCCAGTTGGGGAACTAAGATCCCGCAAGCCGCATAGTGTGGCCAAAATAAATAATAATTAAAAAATAAATGATGAAGGCATGAATCAACCTATAGTCCTACACCTCACACTCAGAGACACCTGTGCGGGTGTGTGTGTGTGTGTGCGCGCGCGCGCGTGTGTGTGTGTGTGTGTGTGTGTGTATAGTTGCAGGGATGAGGCTTATCCATTATCATCTTAGCATTGTAGATTGAGGCTCTGTGGTCAGGCCACTCAAGATGGCTTCTCTTGCTCTCTGTACATGCCCTGCTTGACCAGTCCCTGCTTAACTTACACACTATTCACATGACTACCCAATCCTCTTAATCATAGGGCTCAATCAGTAACTACCTACATACTTGCCCCCTGCCCCAGCCGCTGGTTTCCCTGGTAACTGATGAGCCAAGCTGACGTCAATTCCCCCTATAAAAGGTAGCCTCCTTCTTCCCTGAGTAACGAAGCTTGTCGTGTCCGGCTCGCCCGCCCGCCCGCCCTCCCGCCCTCCCGCCCTCCCGCCCTCCCGCCCTCCCGCCCTCCATGGTGGGGTGCCCCTCCAGGACTTTGCTTCAGACTTGTAAGATTCCCTATCCGATAAATCACTGACATCTCTGTCACTGTCTCCGGGCTCTTTGGTCTCATAGCTGGGCAATTGCAAGGCTTGTAGACCGGACCAGACCCAGGTTTCTGGAAGCCAGTTCCATTCCCAACTCCCACTGAATTGATTGGCACCCTTTGCCCCTTGGCCTGACCACTATTCACCCCCGAAGCCTGTCTGGCGTCTAACTGGAGCTTAGCTAATAGGTATCTCCGGAGGTGTGGGGCAGTGCTGTCCAGGCCCAGAGCTGTGGGAATGAGAAAGACCACACAGGGAAAGGTCTTCCGGACCCAGTCAGTGGAGGTCTTAGTCCCAAAGAGTTTGCCAGGGCATAGTTCTAAGGACAGAGGAATGTTGGCTGGACAGGTGCCACAGACTGTCTGCTGGATAAAGGGAGCCAGTGCTAGGAGCGCAGAGGCCAGTCTGAGGATGGGGCATATAGACACATAAGGTTCCCAGCTGCGTTTTCTCAGGAAGGAAGGCCTGACCTTTCATTCCGACACTATAACCTTCCCACGTTGTATTAACAGGAAGTGAAATCAAATTATTTTATGAAATGAACACAGGTGGTAATTGTGACCCTCCCACACCCAATCCATGGCAAAATAAAAAGTTGGCCACCCTATGCTGGTATCTCCGGTTGGTTGGTAGGTTATTGGTCCAAGAAATCAGAAAGCCTAGAAACTGAAGGTTTCTCTGGCGGGTTGGGGATGGAAACCAGCTTGTAGTGGGCTGAGGGGGAAAAAATGGGAGGCAAGGAAGTGGCAACAGCAGGTGTGTATCTTTTGTAGATCAGTGCTCATTCAGGACTGGTAGCAGCAGCATCACCTGGGAGTTCCGAAAGCAAATTTCTGGCCCCTACCCCAGACCTACAAAGTCAGAACCTCTGGGAACGGAGCCCAGCAATCTGATTTTAAAAACTCCCAGTGCACACCAAAGTTAACCACTCTACCTGCTTGTGAAGAGGCCGAGAGAAAGAGAAGTGGCTGGAGAGCCGAGTGAGATGAAAGGACGATTTTTGTGGCTGTGGTTTTTTTTTTTTTTAACATCTTTATTGGGGTATAACTGCTTTACAATGGTGTGTTAGTTTATGCTTTCTAACAAAGTGAATCAGTTATACATATACATATGTTCCCATATCTCTTCCCTCTTGCGTCTCCCTCCCTCCCACCCTCCCTATCCCACCCCTCCAGGCGGTCACAAAGCACCGAGTGTGGCTGTGGTTTTAATGGAGAAAATACTCCAGCTTTTTAAAAAACTTTTTATTGAAATGCAATATACCTCCAGAAAAGTGCACGTGTCACAAATGTACAGCTAGATGCCCTTTCACAATCGGGAACCCATGCAACCGACCTCAGATTGATAAACAACATCACCAAGCATCCCAGAAGCCCTCTGTGCCTCCTCCTGACCTGTAATGGCAGGAACTAGGCTCACCTGTTCTTGTACTTTATACAGATGGAAGCAAATAGGATGTGCTCTTTCGTCCCTGGCTTCTTTCAGTCGTCGTGTCTTTGTAAGATCCATCTATATCATTGCATACAATGTAGACCCCTCATTCTCACCGCTGCAGAGTTGCACTGTGTAACTATAATCATGCTACTGATAGCGGGTGTGTGAGCTTTCCAATTTGGGGCTGTTGCAACTAGTGCAGCTATGAACATTCTAGTACATGTCTGTTGGGTACATACCTAGGAGAGGAATTTCTGGAGACTCGACACTTAAATGTTGTTGAAGGAACCCGCAGAGAAGCTGTGAAGCTACAGGAGAGAAGGGGTCACTGAGTGAGGTCCCTGGGGAAGCAGGAGGTAAGAAGTGGGGGAGAGGTCGGGGCCAGAACCAGAGGCAGGGAATAGGCTTTTCCATTGGAGTGGGGTGGAAGGTGGGTTTGTAGTTGGGGGTGGATATAGAGGGCTTCTTGTGTTGGCTTTGATATGTGAAGTGGGAGGACAGATGGTCTGCTGAGAGCACAGCGGAGGGTTTGGGGTTTGAGGCGCTCATAGCAGAGCGTGGTCAGCACAGAGATGACTGGAGAACAGATGAGACTGCAGCACTCTTTGGAGCTCTATGATTTTCCCACAGAACTCCTTGAAGTGAAACCCAGAGTGAAGGAATATGGAAACACCTGGTTTCCAGGCTGCAGCTCCCCAAGAGCCCTATGGCGCCACCTGCTGGATAAGGGCCGCATGACGTGCCCAGGGAGGTAGGTACCTTCACCACCCAAGTTGCTCCCCAGATAGGGAAAACCAGACCCCTGGAGTGGCCTCAGGCTGAGCCTTGACCCAAGCCAGAGACCAGAAACCCCCATACCAGAAACTAGTCATATGCTGAGCCCTGATCCAAGCCAATGTACTGCAGTTCTCACTCAAGCTTCCCGTCCCTAGATTAGAGCCTTAACAGGACCGGGATCCAAAGGTTGCATGCATCCCCTAAAAGGAGGGGCCTGCGGGTGCCCTGGGTCTCAGGGGCTGTGGCCCTAGGACTGGGCTTCTCCTTCCCCTGACGGGGTCCCCTGCCACAAGAGCCCCTCGGGCCCTGTGCCCTAGTGGGGCAGGCTCGCTCACAGCCTCCCTGGCCCCGTTCCCTGCCCAGACCTGTTCTAGATTCCACACCACCCTTCCCCAAGGGTGCCTCCACCTCCTACCCACGGGCTCAGGCTTGGGCAGGGCCTCCAAAGACTCAGCCTGGATGGTGGGCAGGCACCGTGGGCCATGGAACCCATAGCAGGGCCTGTGCTCTACCAGAAGCTGCTGGTCTGGGAACCAAGCTTGGAGTCTGAGGAGGAAGAGGGTGAGATATCAGAGCAGCTCATTCCACATCCCTCGGGGCCCCAGGACTCCTCTGGGTGAGTCAGGGAGGGGTCTGGGCACCCAGCAACTCAGGACTGAGGCTGGTAAGTGCCTCCATCTGGAGCCCCTAAGGAGTGCCAGACAACCCCATGCTTGGCCAGCTCTAGGAAACTTCTGGTTGAGTTGGGGGACCCCTGGCTGCAGCCCCAGGCCTGGCCTGTGTCAGTCAGTCCAAGGTCTGTGCATCTGAAGGGACATTTGTATCAAGTCAGCCCTGCCGGGTGCTCTGCCAAAGGCTCCCAGCTCCCACCCGCTGGTGCACGAGGCACCTGCTGGGCAGGTTGGTCCTGGCTACACCTGGCCAGGCCCTGCTCCTCAAGCCTGCCAAGCCCCCTTCAGGCATCCCTCCAGACCGGTTGGACCCACCTCTCCAACCTCCTCTCCAGAGACTCAGTTTTCCCCAAGCTCTTTCCCATCTCTGTGTCTCCAGACATGCTGTGACTTCTGCCAGGAGGCCCTTTCTCCTCGGCAAACTTACACTCCTCCTACAAGCAAGACCAAACCTTTTGGGAATTGTTTGCTGGGTTCTTGGGTGTCTGCCTGCCTGGTCCTGGCTCAGGACATCCCTCGCTGCAGGAACAAGGCTGGCAGTCTGCCCGGGGCCTGGGCCCAGCTGGTGGCTGCCCTGCTGCTGGTGGCCGTTGGCTTCTCCCTGGCCGTGAGGCAACTCCGCAGAGCTGTGCCTCTCCAGGAACCTTGGGCTCTGGGGCCCCTCCAGCCAGTGGGCGCCCCCACAGGCCTGGCGTGCACCACCGTGGCAGCAGCATCAGCCGTACAGGCCCGTGCTAGGGGGAGGGCCGGGGTCACGGGTCCCAGTCCCAAGACAGTCCCTTTCTTGCTGCAGCCACGTGCTCCCACCTGGGTCGAGAGCTGTTTGCTGCCGGGGCAACGTCGTGGATGCTGGACTTGGAGCAGCTTTGTGTCTGGCGGTGGTGCATCCTCATGCCACAGGACTAGGTCAGTGACCCACAACCCCAGCCAGCGACCCCAACCCTGGGCATGATCAGTAAGTTGGAACTCAGGCAGTCAGTGGCCCCTGGCCTTCAAGGCTGGCTGGTGAGCAGGACATAGGACTTGGGCAGTAGCCCCAACTCTAGGCTGCGACCCTTGATCCCAGATCAGTATGACCTTGACCCCAGGCCTGGTTATTGATGCCTGTCTCCAGGCCTAGTCAGTAACCACTAACCCCAGGCTAAGTCAGTGACCCTTCACCTGGGACTACTGAGTGCCCCTGACACCAGTCAGTGCCCCGGACCCCTGTGTGACCCCTTTGTCTCCTCCCAGGCGCCGTATTCTGGGGCCTCTTCCATAGTAGCTCCTCAGGCAACTCAACCGCCCTGACGTCAGACCCTGGCCCCCGACCTGGGGCTACCCTCGGCTCTGCCTGCCCTGCATTTGCTACACACACACTTTGGCCGCCTGCCCTCGCCACACCTGCTGGTAGGCCCCACCATGCTGGCTCAAGAGGGCTTTCTGGTAGACGCAGCCCAGGGCACAAAGGGCCTCTGTCCCCTACTTTGCCACACTGATGGGACTCCCCTGGGCCCTGGGGCCCGAGCCACCAACCCCAAACTGGCAGCTGTGCTCCACCGGCCTGCACTTGCCCCCACCCCAGACCTTGCCAGGGATGCTCTACTGAGTCTGCGGGCTGGAGGGCCCCTCAGCTAGGCCCATGCCCACCTTGGAGCCAGCACTGCAGCTACCTGTGCCCCAGGGCATCCTGTTCACCACCCCCAGCCCCTCAGCTGGCCTGGAACTACTGGAGGCAGCTCTACAGTCCGGGGGGTGCAGCCCTGCCCCCTGCCCAGCACCCCTACAAGCTGCCGTCAGCCCCGGGAGCAGTGTCCTGGCCACCGTGGACAGCAGCGGCTCTGTGCTCCTTACCTCCTCGCTCAACAGTTCCTTCAGCTCTGGACGCCTGTCCCCAAGTGCCGGGGTTCTACTCAGCAAGCTGGTGGCCGAGTCTGCAAACAGTGCCTGGGCCTGTCCCCTCATCCTTCTTGACAGCTCAGATGACACAGGCCGACGTGTTGGGGCTCGTGCCTTCAGGGACCCCTGCAGCTGCCAGAGTCATGACTCACTCGCTCACTGCTCAGCCACTTGGCTGGGCCCCAAACCCAGGCCCAGCAAGGACCAGCAGGGAGCCCTGGAGCTTGTGGCCAAGGGCCCCTGCTTCAGGTGGCAGCCCACGCAGAGCACGCCCATGTCTCCAGTGTGCCCAGTGGCTGCTGCTCCTTTCAGGGGTTTTAAGGTGGGGCGGTGCCTGGCAGGGGTGGGTGGGAGTAGGCGGTCTCAAGCCTGGAGGCCAGGGCAGAGTGGGCCCAGCACTAATGGAGTACATGACGAGTGTGCATCAATCATGTGGCCACTGCTGGCTTAGGCCCTCAACTTCTGGCCTGATCAGTCGCCTGGACTTGAGTTTTTTCAGCTAAGGAACCTGAGGACAATAAGGAAAGAACGCCAGGGCCTGGGGACGGCCCTGAGTTCAGATCCAGCTCCGGGAAGGACAGGTGGAAAAAAGCCACGCCCCTCGCTAAGCTCTGGGCCTCCGGGCAGGGCAGGCAGATCCTGGCGCACTGCTGGCATCCCTGTGCTCCCCTTCAGGCCACACTCCACTGATCTCCCTCATCTGGGCTGGAAACAAAATAAAGATCAAGCCTCCTGGTCGCCACGTGCCATTCCTACTTCTTGGTTACTTTCACATCAGCCTTTTAGGCACCTGCTGTCTGGGCTTCGCCCATGGACAACACAGGAGACCCCTACCCAGGGACACAGAGCCGGGCTGCTGTCTTTCTGCTCACCTTCTGGGGCACAACATGTACAAGGTAAACCACTTATTCTCACTTTCTGAAACAGCAGAGCAAGGAAGTGGTTGAGAGGATGAGTAGTTGGGTGTCTCGGGCTCCAAAAGGGGTTGGAGCTGGGTGTGTGGAATTTCAAGGCCAGCGTTGGCCCTCACCTCCCCGCTTCCCAGAGCGCCAGGGTCTCTGAACGACAATCCTCCAGAGACAGGTTCTCAAGCCAAGAAACAGGCGTGGCCAGTAGCACTCCTCAGCCGCCCTGTAAGAGGTATCTGTGATTTAAAGAACTCAACCCCACCACCTCCCCCTCACTGCTCCCCACAACGAAAAGAATTCTTCCCCCAGCTCAAGTGATATCACAGCCTACTCGCTGATGTTAGCCCCAAACCTAACATCCCTCTCTTTTCCATCACCCACTACCAGCTCTAAATTAGCTGGAATTTTCTCACATTACCTTGGTCCTATCCAACTGGTCTTCCTGCTTCTCCTCTGCTCTCCTACAATCCGTCCTCCACACAGCAGGGTAATCTATTAAAAGTGTAAGTAGGATCAAGCCTTGTCCCTGCGTAAAACCCTCCAGTGATTCCCCATCACAATCAGAATAAAATTCAAACTCCTGATCTTCCTGAGAAAGGGCCAGGCCGCCCCGCCCCCAGCCACCCACTTCAGTGCGCATGCGCCGCGACCCGACCTGGAAGAGGCAGTCTTCAGAGCCCACGTGTTCGACGAGCATGGCGGAGACGGAGAGTACTGACGTTGCTGAGCCTCCGGCTCCGGGAGAGGCCCCGAAGAGTGGCGCCCGGCCTGCCGACCGTCATGGCCTGCTCAAGCACAGCCGCGAGTTTTTGGATTTCTTCTGGGACATTGCGAAGCCGCAGCAGGAGACGCGGCTTGAGGCCACGGAGAAGCTGCTGGAGTATCTGCGCGCAAGGCCAGAGGTATGGTGGCGGGACCTGGGACAGGGGGCTGTATAGATCCCGGCAAAGATGTAGCGGCGGGCCCCAGGAGTTGGGCCCGGGGTCATGTGGTCGCGAACGTGGAGGCCCACGTGAGCGCGCGCCGAGGAAAAGGGATGAGTGGGTGCCGGACGGTTCTTTTCACTGCCCCACCTGGGGATGTGCTTGGTTCCTCAGGGATCATCCGAGCTGAAGTACTCCCTGAAGCGCCTAATCACTGGGCTCGGGGTCGGACGAGAAACAGCCCGGCCTTGCTACAGTCTGGCCCTGGCGCAGGTGAGGTGGTGGCTCCTGGAATGGGTTCAGCCTTGCTGGTCAAAACGGTGGGGGAGTGAGAAGGGCAGATGTCCCAGCTGCAGGAGAAGTGGCAGCCGAGAAATTGATGGGGTGGCATCCGAGTTGATGGGAGGTGTCCCCACGTGGACGCGGAGAAAACTGCATGAGCACGGCCTGTGTGCAGAAGCCCAGGCAGGTGCCGTGGAAGGTTGTGTTCGCTTTGGGGTACATGGGTTGACCAGCCTCTGAGGTACATTTACTGGGGGTAGTAAGCTTTGGGGTGGCTTCTCTTATCTCTGCAGGGCTCGGGGGCCCTCTTCTCCCAAGGGGCACTTCAGCTAATTATAGGCTATCTCTAAGGAGTCTGAACAAATGGAAGGGCTGTAGAGACCTGGTCCTTGAGGGTCTGCCTGGGGGGAGGGGCTCAGAGCAGGCTGTGGGGACAGAGTGTTTGGGAATCGCAGTCGAGCAATCTAGCGGCCCAAGGAGGTACTTTCTGAACCCCAGCTGGGCATGGGGTAGGGAGGCAAGATTCAGTTCCATTCACAGCTGTGTTCTATCATCAGTACTGCTCAGAGGCGGGTAGGCAGTTTCCGAGGCATCCTTGGGGTGGGAGCGGGGGTCCACGGCCTCTGGGCAGAAGTTGAAGGGAGAAGTGGGAGGAGATGGAGGCCTTTGGGATGTGGCTGGGCCGCTCCCCCAGAACCCCTCCTTTCCTCCTTTCCTCCTGGCAGCTGTTACAGGCTTTTGAAGACATCCCCTTGGGCAGCATCCTGCAGCAGATACAAGAGAAATATGACCTGCAGAAGGTTAAGAAGGTGAGAGTTAGCGGCCCCGGGGAGGCCACTTGGGTCCCGGGGAGGAACACTTGGGTCCTTCTCACCAGTGCCTGGAATCCTTTTCTAGGGGATGGTGAGACCTGCTCTCTTTGGAAACCTGTTTGGGGTGCTAGCCCTCTTTCAGTCAGGCAGGCTGGTGAAGGTAAGGGTTTTGGGGGTATGTGGACTGGCCTGGAGTGGTGGGGGGAGAGGGGCATGCCCTGCTCACACCCTCTCTGCCTCTGGGGGTACCAGGACTCGGAGGCACTGATGCAGTCGGTGAAGCTGCTGCAAGTCCTGGGCCAGCATTACAGCCACTTGCAGGAGCAGCCCCAGAAGGCCCTGGTGGACATCCTCTCGCAGGTACGGGGCCTGGGGTAACGCTGCCTGTTGTAGAGGAAAACGGAGACGACGCGAGTTTACTCATGGAAACACAGCACTGTCCCAGGGAAACGTGTGTGGCACTTGACGTTTTGTAGTAACTACATTTAAAAAGTGAGAAAGAAATAGGTATGGTTTCCTAGACTAAATAAAACATGTTACTGTGTCTAAAGTATTAATGTGCGGTCAGTACAAAAAAACTGTAGAGGTAGTTTACGTTCTTTTAAGTTTCCAAAATCCAGTGTGTTGAACGCTCACAGTGTATTTCCATTCAGGTTAGTGCATGCTAAGTGCTTGGGGTGCACATGTGGCCAGTGGCAGCCATATTGGATGGTGCCGTTTTAGAACAGTGCCCGGCATGTGCCCGGTGGGTTCATATTTGCCGTTGATTTGGGCAGAGCTGGCCCCTCGGGGGCCCCCACTGCCCTGTGTGGGAAATGGAGGTGGGCCAGTACCTAGAATTCTTTGCTGCTGAGGAAAAGGCAGGGACCGGTACATCCCAGGCCAAGGCTTTCTGCACAGCCGTGGCCACAGAGCCAGAAGGACCTTCACGTGGGGCACGTTGTATAAGAAATGGGCTAGTTCTGCAAAACCCAAGAGAGGAATAATTAAAAGGGTGGTCCAGGGCCAATTAGCATCAGTGGGGTGCTTGTTTAAAACCCAGCTTTAGGGACTTGGGAACTTGAGCTTTCTAAGGAACACCCTCTAGTTCCTGGCAAGGTGGATTGTGGCTGTCCCTCCTTGGGCTGGCAGGTGGAACAGGGCCCAAAGGACTCACCCCATGGGGAGAGACAAAGGGTGCTATGAGGGGGGCCCCCATCCCTCAACCCATGTCCCCATGCCAGGTCCCAGAGGCCATGTTGCAGGAGGTCCTGCCAAAAGTCCTCAAGCCCGACTTGAATTCAGTACTTGGTTCCCCTGAGCACCTGGAGCTCTTCCTCTTGGCCCAGCAGAAGGTGCCCAAGAAGCTGGAGAAGCTGATGGGACCGGTCAACCTGTTCTCAGATGAGAGCATCCCCAGGTGTGAGGGAGGCGGGGAGATGGGCTCTCTGGGCCTCGGGGCTGCCTCTCCATCCATGGGTTTGCGCCATGGCCTGGGGTCGGGTGTCCATGTGGCCCCAGGCCCCTGGCCCTGTCTGTTTAGGGAGTGCCCCCTGAGTCCCCTCCGCCTTCCTCTGCAGGCTGGTGACTGTGCTGAAGATGGCGGCCACCTCTGTGAAGAAGGAACGCAAGCTGCCTGCCGTGGCTTTGGACCTGCTCCGCCTGGCGCTCCAGGAAGACAGCTTCCCACGGTTCTGGAAGGAAGTTGTGGAACAAGGGCTCCTGAAGAAGCAGTTCTGGCCGGCCAGGTGCGTGAGTGCTTGACCTCTCTCCATCCCTTCTCCCAGGTTTGTTAAGCAGGGATGGGCCAGGGGTCCGAGGGCTCTGACCAGGCTCTGTCCTGCGCCCCCTTAGCTACCTGTGTTTCCGCCTGCTGGGCGCGGCCCTGCCCCTGCTGTCCAAGGAGCAGCTGCAGCTGGTGACGCAGGGGGACCTGATCCGCCATTACGGGGAGCACATGGTCACTGCTAAGGTAGGTGCTGGCCCCCTGTGGCCCAGCCCTGCCAGAAAGGGCCAGGCGACTGGGCTGCTTCCTGCCAAGAAGTTGGGGTTGGGGGGGCCGCCTCTGGGGTCAGCTGGCTTCCGGAAGAGAGGGTTGCTCTCCTCTCCATGTCAGTGGTCCTGCCTGGGATGGGCAAGCACAGCTGCTGTTGGGAGGGACCTGGGACCGGGGTGTCCCTTCTCTCTGTGTAAAGTGAGCTACCTGAGGGCCGACCCCTCCCCCAACCCCTGCCTCTGTATCTATATACCCCTCCCCCTGCCTCTAAAGCTATGTACCCCTCCCCCTGCCTCTATAGCTGTATACCCCTCCCCCGCCTCTATAGCTGTATACCCCCCCCCCGCCTCTATAGCTGTGTGCCCCTCCCCCGCCTCTATATACCCCACCAGCAGTCTGTCCAGACCTCCCTCCACCCCCAGCTAGTGCTACAGTGAGAGCGGCCGTCATCACCGATGCTGTTTTGTAGCAGTCTGCGCACCCCACACTAAGCTAAGTGCTCCACAGGAGAACCAACGGTGGTTAAGAGCACGGAATCCCGGACCTGGGTCGGCCAGGTTCCCTTCTGACCCCACCGCAGCTGTGTGACCTTCCGCAGCTTGCTTCCTTTCTCTGTGCCTGCTTCTGCTTGCCCGTGAGATGAGAGGAGCAGGACCTTCCTCAGTCATTGTGAGGATAACCAGGCTAATGTTGTCCACAGGCGCTTAAAGCAGTGCCCTGTTCACAGGAAGTGCTGCTGGGTTTGTTAGTAGCTCATTTCATCTTTACAACCAGCTTTGGAGAGCTGCTGTTCCTCTCTCCTGGGTGAAGGACAGGCTTAGAAAGTACAGAGCAGTGGTTAAGAGCACTGACTGGGGGGCCAGACTGACTGGAGCCGGATCCCAGCTGCACCACTTGGAGCCCTGTGACCCTCAGAAGTTACTTGCAAGCTTTTTTGTGCCTCGTTTTCTTCATCTGCAGAACAGAGGGGCCCAGGGCAAAGGGTTGTTACAAAGATTAAACTCTGGGGCGCCTGGGCAACCCAGCTGGTTCAAGGGAGGGTGCTTCCTGGGCCTCAGTATAGCCTGTTGTGGAAGAAGCTGGGGCGCTGTTGGATCCCTCCTGGCTGGTGACCCCGGTGCTGTGCCCAACTCTCGCAGCTCCCGAGCCAGTTCAAGTTTGCTCCAGAGATGAATGAGTACGTGGGGGCCTTCCTGAAGGGCTGCCAGGATGACCCCGAGCGGCAGTTGGCCCTGGTGGTGGGCTTCACGTCCGTCACCAACCAGGGCCTCCCCGTCGTGCCTACCTTCTGGCGGGTCATGCAGTTCCTGAGTCTCCCCGCCCTCAAGGGCTACGTGGCCTGGCTGCGGGACATGTTTCTCCAGCCGAACCTGGACTCCTTGGTGGACTTCAGCACCAACAACCAGAAGAAAGCCCAGGACGCTTTGTTCCACGGGTGAGTGGGCCTGGTGGGGAGGGGCCTGCTGGCCCCAAAGGCCTGGACCCTCCCTCGCATGGTACCGTGGTTCCCCAAGCGGGGAGAGGTGGGGAAGATCTAAGTCTTCACTCTTTTTTTATATGTAATATATATACATATTTACTTATTTTTGACTGTGTTGGGTCTTCGTTGCTGCACGCGGGCTTTCTCTAGTTGTGGCGAGCAGGGGCTACTTTTCGTTGATGTGCGCAGGCTTCTCATTGCGGTGGCTTCTCTTTTTGTGGAGCACGGGCTCTAGGCAAGTGGGCTTCAGTAGCTATGGCACGTAGGCTCAGTAGTTGTCACTCGTGGGCTCTAGAGCGCAGGCTCAGTAGTTGTGGCGCACGGGCTTGGTTGCTCTGCAGCACGTGGGATCTTCCTGGACCAGGGATCGAACCCGTGTCCCCTGTGTTGACAGGCGGATTCTTAACCACTGCACTGCTGGGGAAGCCCCTGAGCCTTCGTTGTTAAAGGCCTCGGTTTTCTCATATGTGGCCCCGTGCTGGTGATAAGGGCGTTGGGGGATCTTGATTGGTTTTCCTGTCTCCAAGACGGGGCAAGGGGCACTGTTTTCACCATCTCTAAACGGCTTCCGGACTCGCCTCCTGCCCACAGGCCTGAGCGAGCCGTGTTCCGGCTACGGAAGTGGATCATCTTCCGCCTGGTCAGCATCGTGGACAACTTGCACGCGGAGAAGGAGGAGGCCTTGATTGAAGAGGTGGCCAGGTATCGTCATGGGATGTGCTTGAACCCCAACTCCCCACGGGTGCAGCGGCCTCTTATCTGATCCTAGTTTGGGTCCCCTTGGAGCCAGGAGCCTGGGGGTCAAGTTGTCCCTGCCCCTTAGGCAGGAGGAGATTTAGGGGAATTCCTTGGGGGAACCCTCGGAAGGGGGGACCGTAGAGGCTTGGGCTGGCTCCACCCTCCCCAGACGCCTTTGCGCGTCGGCAGTTTTGGGGGGTCCTCGCCTCTGCATCTGCCAGGCGCCCCTCCCACCCTCCCTGCAGCCCCAAGAGAGGCAGAAGCGGTGGTGCCCTGGCCGAGGCCACACAGCCTCACATCTTGGTTGTGAGGGAGGGATGCTGGTCCTCTCCCTAGTCCGGCCTGGGCTCTGTTCTGCTGGGGATCCAGACCTGAGAAATGTCCGTTCTCTCATCGTTGCCACCTGGCACCAGGCCCTCGGTGAGGGCCCGAGGATGGGCTGGTCAGAAGTGGCACTGACTGAGGGTAACACGGGTTATTCTCCCTCCCTCTCTCCCTCCCTCCCCAGGTTTTGTTTTTTCCACTCATTCTTCGAGACAAAGAAGCCCATGTCCCAGATCCCTGAGACCGAGCAGCACTTCTCTCACCCCCTGGACAGCCGGACCCGGGAGGTGGTGGGCAGTGCCTTCTTCAGGTGGGTGCTGGGCAGCCTGGGAGAGGTCTGAGGGTGGGCGAGCGGACAGGAAGGTGGCCTCGGGGCGCTACTCCCTCCAGTTTGAAGCTGCGGCCCAGTGAGTTCCAGTGGGTCACAGTGTGGGGCTGGGGGGTGTGTGGCCTTGTTCACCAGCCCAGCCTGTGACCCCGCCCCCGCCCCTACCAGCCTGCTGCAGACTCTCAGCACGCAGTTCCGGCAGGCGCCGGGGCAGACGCAGGACGGGCAGCCCTGGACCTACCACCTGGTGCGGTTCGCAGACCTGCTGTTGAGCCACAGCCGCAACGTGGTTCCCCTGGTGGCCTTCACCACGCAACAGCGCCAGGCCTGGGACCGGTGAGAGGGTGCAGTTGCCACAGCATGGGCGGGACACTCTGGGGTACTGACGCTGGCCACAGTGCCTGAGGGTGTGCCCGTCTCACCCAGGACTCTGAAGACTCTGAAAGAACTGGAGGCCCAGTCCTCAGAGGCCAAGGCCACTGCCTTCCAGCACCTGCTACTCCTGGTGGGCATACACCTCTTCAAGGTATGGCGGCCTGGAAGGGAAGGGGTTACAGACCTGGGGTCCGCGGTGGCCAGGAGAGGCTCTCCTCTCCTGGAGAGTGTTGAAGTTGGCAGGTTTCCTAGGCTGACTGCTCCGGCCTGGAATTATATAGCCCAAGGACAAAATCACTGCATCCACTTACTGGGCCCCAGCTACATCCTGAGCTTTCCCAGGCAGTGTCCTTTGTTTGTAATCCCCACAGTTTTGAGGCAGCCGCATCTTCTTTTTGACAGGTGTGGTAACAGATTTAGGTAGAGTAACTTACCCCAGGCCATACAGCTGTTGGCTAGGATTCAAACATAGGGATCTGACTCCACTATCCCACAGGACCTCCCAAAACTGCCTTACTGACCAGAGGTGATAGGTGTAAAGAAGAGGGGCTCTGGCTCTGGGCATACCAGTCACTGATGGGGGCAGTTCTTCTGTCTGTCAGTGGTCAATTAGAAGCGGGGTCCTGATTTTTCTGTCTGACTCGCGCACTTCCAGAATCCATAGTAGTGGGTTGAGGGTAGCGTGTTTCTGTCTGGTGCTCCCCACGTGGGGTTCTGTGCCCTGTCACTATATTCCTCACATTGTCACTCATACTCTTTCTCATGACAGGTCCTCTAGAACCAGCTTTGTCTCTTTTTCTATTCTTTCCACCAAGAAACTTTGACCACGTTCGGAGTTTAGTGCCGGCAGCTCTTTTGACCCTCGTGGTTTCTTCCCAGCTCTGAGCCCTGGTTTCTCTGAAGGTTTTCCTCTTGCATTGTGTGGGCTGGCTCTTGTGGGGCTGCTTCAGGTCTTGAGTAGTCTGAGGAGATGGGACTCCCTTCTGGCCTCTTGGCTGAGGTTTTTGCTTCCAGGTCTTGGGCACTCAGCCCAGCTCGTAGATGAGCTGTGTGGATAACGATCGGTCTCGATGCCCCTTCCAATGCTTGGCACTGGGCCTCTGAGGGGCCTACCCAGACCCTGGGACCTCCGAGCTTGACTTGGGTAAAAGGTACCCAGCCACAGCCAGGAAGCTGGAGGCAAAGATGGCCAGGGCTTGGGCCCTGTTCTGGCCTTCGCTCCACCACCCCTGCCCCCAACACTGACGCTGCCCTGCTGCATTATGGGGGAAAGTCTGCCTTTTTGGTACCGACAGTCACACAGGTTATTTTCAACTCACCGGTCGGTGGCTGGAGTCTGGGCTTATTCCCCTATCAAGATGGGTTTAAATTTGTTAAGATCAATGATTTTCAGGTCTTTCTCTGTAGCAATGTCGAGCCTGGTGTGGGAGGAGAAATCTAGAACTGCAAATCAGGAGGCTGGGACCTGCTGGTGCCCTGTGATCCTGACCAGGCCAGCCTTGTCAGGCTCTCCACTGCTCTGGCATCAGTGGGCAGGTTGGGCTTCACGGTCTCTGAGAGCACTCAGACCCCGTGCCTGCGTGTTACGTGTAAAAGGTCATCAGCTCTTGGGCTGCCCCTGGGGTCTGGCTGGGATCCTCTGCTCTGGGTTGTGAGGGTGACTGGCCAGGGCAGTCTGGAGTCTTCTAGGCCTCAGATGCCAGCTCCTCCCACTTGGCCACCCCCTCTTCTGGCGCAGCAAAGGCTGGGAATGGGGCCTGGCTCCTGATTTCTGTCCTGTCCTGCACAGTCCCCCACAGAGAGCTGTGACCTCCTGGGCGACATCCAGACCTGCATCAAAAAGAGCCTGGGGGAGAAGCCCCGTCGGACCCGCTCCAAGGCCACCAGTGGGTCATCGTCGGGGGGGGGGGGGGGGGGGCAGGCAATAGGGACCTAGCATGGGGCGCTGGTGCCCTGCCCAGACTCAGACCTTTCCCTGCTCACAGACCCGCAGGAGCCGCCGTGGGTGGAGGTGCTGCTGGAGATCCTGCTGGCCCTCTTGGCCCAGCCCAGCCACCTGATGCGCCAGGTGGCCCGAAGTGTGTTCAGCCACATCTGCTCCCACCTGACTCCACGTGCCCTGCAGCTCATTCTGGATGTAAGTTGGGGCCTTTGGGGAAATGGGTCCCGGGATGGGGCTCTCCAAGCGCTGGGCTGCACTAGGGCTGCCTCATTGCCACCTTGTCCTGACTGTAACCTGCAGGGTGGTTGGGGGCCTCCTGCTGTGCACGCTGACCCTGGGTTTGCCAAGAGCTGACGGGGTTTATCATGGAGGCACTGGAGGGAGTGGCTTTCTCTCCTGGGCTCCATCTTCCTCCCTGAAATGGGGACCTTTGGCCGAGACTGGACGGCCACGGTCAGGGAAGGCAGGTGAGAGGGCCCAGGGGTCTGAGGTGGGTGAAGGGGCCGGGCCAACAGATGCGTCAGCTATCTGGGAATCCCGGCAGGTGCTAAACCCCGAGGAGAGCCAGAATGAGGACGACAACGTGGTGGTTACAGATGCCTCTGAGCGGCAGTTGCTGGGGGATGCGGAGGTACGTGCCAGCGAGGGGCGGGGGTGGGCGGGCGGACACGCGGTGCATGGTGGAGAGGCATGACGCGTGGCCCACCCACAGGACGAGAGCTCGGACGACGGCGAGGACAAGGGCAATGAAGACTCGGAGAGCGAGGAGGAGGAGAGCAATGACGAGGAGAGCGACGAGGAGGAGCGGGACGGGGACGTGGACCAGGGCTTCCGGGAGCAGCTGCAGGCGGTGCTGCAGGCAGGGAAGGCGCTGGTGAGCAGGAGCCGGGCTGGGGGTCCTGCGTCCGTGTGCGTCTCCTGCACGAGGCCGGGCCGCTCACGGGGCATCTGTTCCTCAGGGTGGAGCTGACGGCGAGGACGACGACGAGCTGGGGGATGAGGCCATGATGGCCCTGGACAAGAACTTGGCCAGCCTCTTTGCCGAGCAGAAGCTGCGCATCCAGGCCCGGAGGGACGAGAAGAACAAGCTACAGAAGGAGAAGGCACTCCGACGGGGCTTCCAGATCAGGGTGAGCCCGCTAGGCGGCCCCACCCCCACCCTCACCCTCACCCTCACCCTCCATCCAGTCTCCCTCTGCTCCCGTCCCCACACCTGGCTGAGCCCACCCTTCCCGGCTACAGGTCCTGGACCTGATCGAGGTGCTGGTGACCAAGCAGCCCGAGAACCCCCTGGTCCTGGAGGTGCTCGAGCCGCTGCTGCACGTCATCCGGCGCAGCATGCGCACCAGCAGCACGAAGCAGGAACAGGACCTGCTGCACAAGACGGCCCGCATCTTCATGTGAGCGCGGGCGGACCCCCGGGGAGCCGCGCCTTTGGGGTTTCCTGGGTAGGAAGGGTAGGAGCTGGGAGCCCCGGGGGCCCGCATCATTCAGGAAGTCTCACGCAGCTCTGCCCCGCCCGTGTGTTCTGCAGCCCTTAGCACGGGGCCCCCAGTCCCATCCCTGCCCTCGGGGTCACTGAGGCTGGGAGACCCGACAGGGCGTCCAGCGGCGACATTCTGGGCCTGTGGCAGGGGCTGGATGGGAGACAGTAGGGGCATCTAACCCAGGCTTGAGGTGCCAGGGAAGGCCACCTGGGAGAAGTTTAGGCAGTGCAGGGAGCTCCTCAGGCTCAGAGGCCACAGGCGGGGCAGAAAGGCGTGTCCACACGTGTCACACGGGAGCCGGTCAGGCGCAGCAGAGGCGAGAGGTCTCGTGGCCCGGCCCTCGCAGTATTGGGAGCCTTGGAGGCATTTGCAGCCAGGAGGCGGGCGAGTGGGTGGTGCTAGAGCGGGGAGCCCAGCAAGAGTTGGCGCAGCGTGGCAGGTCGAGCCCTCCCTGTCTTCTGGAGGGCAGAGGAGGTGGTGGAGACAGAGAGGCCTAAGGACTCGTGCCGAGTGTGTGGCACAGAGCAGGTGGGGAGGGGCGGTGGACAGCGCAGCCCCCGCTCACGCCCCCTGCAGGCCCAGGTCCCACGCTCTCATCTAGTTCTCCCTCCCACTCGGCCCAGGCCCGAAGGGTACTGAGCGCGCAGGCCCTGGTTTGTGTCTTACAAAGAGCCTGGAAGCCACCATCCCCCGGGGGGTGGGTGTAGATGGGGCTGTGGCCAGGTCGGGGTGTTGGCCCGTGGTGGAGCCTCACCCAGGGAGCTGGTTTCCCTCCGGCTTCTTCTCAGAGCCCATCTGCATGTGGTCCCGGGCCTGCCCCTGCACCCTTGGTTAGACCCCTTTCTTTAGGTGTTTGTTTCCTGCCTGTGAAATGGGACCCGGCGTCCCTACTCTGGGGCTTGGCCCTGCCGTGGGGCGGGGGGGGGTAACATCGTGACCACCCCCACCCCGCTCTCCCCCGCCAGGCACCACCTGTGCCGCTCCCGGCATTACTGCCGCAACGTGGGCGACCGCGTGGAGACTCTGTACGCCCAGCTGGAGCGGCTGGTGCAGCAGGCCGGTCGCCAGGCTGACTCCTCCGTCTGCCTCTACTACTTCAACGCCTCCCTCTACCTGCTCCGGGTCCTAAAGGGCAACACTGTGGGCAAGTCCACCTGCAAGGCCCAGAAGAAGGAGAAAGCCGCCACTGACACCGGCACCCAGCCCCAGGGCCCAGAGGTGAGCAGGCGCTGGCCCGGCAAGGCTCAGCCTGGAAAGTCCAAGCCGGTGGGAGCCAGTCCCAGGAGGCGGCGGGACCATCTGCCCATTTCACAGATGGGAAGTTGAGGCTGTGCCTTCCCCGGGACCCAGCTTTCAGCCTTCTGAAGGCAGCCCAGGCTCTGCTCCCATGCCAGGGCCCCCTCTCCCTGGCATCACACCAGCTCTCTCTCACATGGTGCAGGCTGCCAGCTGCTTGGATTTGAGCCTCGTGACCCCGATCTACTCATCGGCACTGAGCTCCTTCCTGACCAAGCGCAGCAGCCCGCTCACAGCTCCCATGTTTCTCAGCCTCTTCTCCCGGCACCCGGTGAGTTGTAGTGCCAGGCCGCCCCCTTGGGCCCCTGCTCGGCCCAGTCCTCACAGCCTAGCTCACAGCCCGTCACTCCCTCCGCAGATGCTCTGTAAGAACCTGCTCCCCATCGTGGTCGAGCACGTGGCAAGCCACACGCGGCCCCGCCATCAGGTAAGGGGCTTCCCAGATCCCAGCTGAGGACTTGTCTGAATTACTCGCTCGACTCCTGGCTGGCTGGTTAGCTATTTGTGAGGCCTGGGAATGCTACCCTGGGTGGGCCCTGCCCCTTCGACCTGGCCAGCCCCGCCCCCACTGTAGGCCCAGAGCAGCTGGGGCTGGGGGGCCCTTCCTGTGTGGCCCGAGCCCACCAGCTCCTCAGAGACCGTGCTCTGACCTGCGCAGAGGAAGCCCCGGGCTGATGGGTGTAGGCCTGGGGGCAGGGGTGGGACGAGGGGGCTGGAGACGCAGGAGGAAGACGCACTGAGTGAGTGGAGGGCCAGGAACCCTGTCCGGCTGACAGCCCTGGCTGCCCCCCAGGCCTCGGTTCTCCCACCTGCCTGAGAAGAAGGGGCAGGGGCAGGTGAGGGCCGAGCCTAGAGCTTCTGTGGCGACAGCGCCTCCCGCGTGGCCTATTCTAGTGCCCAGCAGGCTCCTGGAGCTCGTGGGGTCCCCCTGCGGTTCCCTCAGCCCTGGCCCAGCGTGCCGAGCCTCCTGGTCACCCCATTCTTCACCCGCCCCTCCCCAGGCCCAGGCCTGCCTGCTGCTCCAGAAGACCGTGCCCACGCGGGAGCTGAGGCTGTGCTTTAAGGACCCCGAGTGGGAGCAGCTGCTGGACCAGATCCTGGCGAAGGTCACTGAGGTAACAGACACGGGGCTCCGCTCCCCCGCCCACTGGCAGTGGTGCTCTGGGAACCAAGGGGCAAGGGTTGCTGGACCCTGCGCCTGGGGGTGGGTTGGGGTTCCCCCCAAGGAGGCATTTCTCTCCTCGGCGCCCTAATCTCTTCGTGTGGGCAACGGCAAGGCTCTGGGCAGCTCTCTGGAGGGGCTCAGCCTGGCTGCCTTCTCCTTAGACCCTGCGGACGCTGGGTGAGGCCGAGACCAAGTCAGGGCGCCAGAAGGAGCTGTCTTCCTTGGAGCTGCTCAACGTTCTCTTCAGGAACATCCATCACGAGGTGAGAATGGGCGCGGGAGGGAGGGCACCACGCAGGCAGGGTAGGCAGTCTGAGCAGAGGTGAGGGGGCAGGTGGGGAGACAGGTGGGGAAGGTTCTGGACGCTAGGGTCAGGAATCTGGGCTTCGTGTGAGGGGCGAGGGTGCCACAGCCAGTGCCTGGCCGGGGTGAGGTGAGCCGGGGGCTGTCCCTCTGCTCCAGTAAGAAAGCCGAGAAGGGGCTGGGAGGGCTGGCGACCATGGGAGGACGCGGCTGTGAGCGCGGGGCACGGGTTTCTGGGCCTTTGGAGGCGGGCCGGGTGGGTGGAGCGTGAGACACACAAGGGGCCGCTGTGGGCAAGGCTCTGGTTCCTCCAGTATGGCCCAGAGGAAGAGGTTTGGGGGTTCTTAGCGGAGACACTTGATCAAAGCCCAAGTGCGGGATAAGCTTCCAAGAGGAGGCTGCAGGGAGCAGACAGGGCCAGGGCCTTGCAGAGCGGCAAGCGGACCTGAGAAGCCACGCTCAGAGGGGTAGTAAAAAGCCAGGAGAGAGAGGGGTGTTCTGGAAGCCAGTGGATTTGAAAAACAACCCATTCAGTATGTGACGGGGAGGGGGAGATAGGAGGAAAGGCATTGGCAACCCTGAGGTCACTGCATGGGGCACCCCGCAGGTGGGCGGGCCTTTGGGCTGTGGGAAGAGAACAGAACATGGCACCTGGGGCTCTTTTTTTCCCTGCAACGCGAGAGACTGGGGATGTACAGGCAGGATTGGCTGAGGGTCCAGAAGGGGGGTGGGCTCACAGAGTGGCTCTCACCGGGCAAGGGTGGGAGGACAGGGGCCAGGGAGAGGCAGGCCATGCCTCATGTCACCACTGCAGCCACAGCCTTCCTGCCCCTCTGCAGAAGCTGACGATGGACCTGACCGCTGTCCTGGGCGTGCTGCAGAGCCAACAGCTGAGGCTGCAGCAGGGGCTACAGCAGGGGGCGCACTCGGCCGGCTCCAGCCGCCTCTATGATCTCTATTGGCAGGCCATGAAGTTCCTCGGAGTCCAGTACGTTCGGGGAGGGGGGCCCCCACCTTGGGAGGGGCTGGGAAGACCCTCACGTCGCACACGTCCTGATGTGTGCACCGCAGTGTGGGAGCTTTGGGCCGCTTGGGGACCACGGACGCGGAGGTCAACCCTGCCCTCACCACATACTTCTTTCCTTTGCTCACTTCCTCCCAGGCGTCCCAAGTCAGAGAAGAAGGATGCCAAGGAAGTCCCTAAGGCCACGCAGAGCCCCATTAGCATGAAGCGGAAGAAAAAGGGGTTCTTGCCAGAGACCAAGAAGCGTAAGAAACGCAAGTCCGAGGGCGCCACGCAGGAGGAGGCGGCCAAGCCCGCAGCCGCCAGTGGGGACCAGCCCCCCAGCACTGGCAAGAGGAAGAGGAAGATCAAGCGCAAGGGCCCAGCCCAGTCCCAGGCGCAGGGGCTGCCTGCCTCCAAGAGTCCGACCCCAGACCCCCCTGCCATGAGCCCCAGCAGCCCCGCCAAGACCCCAAAGCTGCAGAAGAAAAATCGGAAGCTGTCCCAGGTGAGCAGAGCCACCCCCTTGTCTCCTGAGTCCCCCAAGGAGCCTGCTGCCAAAAAGCGTCAGAAGAATCTGCCCCAAAAGGGGGTTTCAGGCAAGTCGCCGCAGTCCGCACTGCCTCGGAGAAAGGCCAGATTGTCTTTGGCCAGCAGGAGCCCCAGCCTCCTCCAGAGCGGGGTCAAGAAGAAGGGGCAGCTGAAGAAGGCGAAAAAGCTGTGAGTGTCCCCATCCGCCCTAGAGACTCCTATTTTTTCACCGCGATTTTAATACACAAGCCACTGTCTGAGATTCTACCTTCCGCGCCGGGGGTGGGAGGTCTGCTGCCAGCCTGCTAGTAGGTCCTGCCCCAGCAGGCGTGGCCTCAGAGACCCCAGCCCTGGGCTCGGCCCTGCCGCTGCTCTCAGGCACAGAGCACGCTTGGGACCTTGGCTCCCCAAGCGGTGTGGGCCAGGCCCAGGGCTCTGGTATCTGGCGGGTGGGGTACAAGTGTGACCATGCCTCATATCCCCCAGGCTGCTTTCCTGCGGGAGCCACTGGGGCGTGACTTAAATATCTTTATTTCTTCATTTACAAGAGGAATATATTTGGCTTCTCTCTTAAGACTCAGATTCACAATGAGCAGCTCTAAAAAATAAAGGAGCAGTTTGGCTTCCGGAAGGAAGAGGAAGCAACACTTGGACCTGGTTCTTGTACAACAAGAAAACATTGCTGGGGCCCCAGTTGAGTTGGTCTTTGGGGGAAGCCCACCCCTTGGTTAGCCCCCCACCCAGGGTGCCCCAGAGCTTGGTGGGGAGGGGCTACTCCACTAACTTCCCCACCATTGAAGCCACGCCAGCCATTCAACTGTGGGCAGAAAGCACTAAGCTGGCTGGCTCTTAGGGTCTCCTGCTGGCCACACGGGGCCACTGAGACCAGAACCACCTTGATTCCAGCAGCGGTACCGGGAGGGAGTGTGTGACGCAGAGGGGATGTGATGAGCTCCACGGGGGAAGCTGGGGGGCTGGCGGCCGCGCCCCAGCGTGTGGCTCTGGGGGCGGGGGAGGGGGGGGGAGTCCGGAAGGGGCTGCATTTGAAAGCAGATGTCTGCGTGGAGGTGGCTCTGGGCGTTGGCCTGTCCCGATGTGCCTCAGCTCCCACCAGGCTCGGCCCTGGGCCAGGAAGCTTCCTCTGACGGCCAGAGCTCTGGCTGCTGCCCCACAGATTCTGGGAATTGTCCCCTGGGCGCTGCCCCTGGAAAGGGCCCAGCCTGCGGGCCAGAGTCAGTTCCTGGCTTCTGGGGGGTGGGGGTGCTATGGTGGATCCAAGGAGCCCTGTAGGCATGGGGAACCCCCAAAGGTCTCAAGCCTGGGGCACAGGTGGGGTGTAGCTGCCACCAGGGCCTTCACTCCTGGTAATGCCAGCTCCCTGTCAGGATGGTCCCCCACCTGGGAGATCTCCGAGCTGACAGCCAGCCCAAGGCAGCAGAGACAGATGTCCTCCAGAGCGACCAGCAGCTTGGGTGCCCGGCTCTGCCAGGTTGAGTCCAACATCCACAAGGTCAGAGGCCCAGCTGACAGGCTGCAGTCCTCACACCCCAGGCGCTTCAGGGAGCCTCAGAGCCGGAAGTGCCGCCCTGAGGCTTGGGCCACCTCTTCTCGGTGCAGTCCAGGGGTTGTCGTGTCTTCAAAGCTGCAGGTGACGCCTTGCCCAGCAAGCTGTGCGGGAAAGTCCAGCCCCCCGGCCCCAGAGTCTGGGGAGGGCAGAGACTGCCCCAGGATCACATAAGCTGGGGACAGGCCGGCCTCTCCCCACATACCCACAGTGGGCTGTCGTCTTCCTGGGGCCCAGGGCCCCTGCAGCCCAGACCCAGGCCTGGGGGTCTGTCCCAGCGTATGGTTCCAGCACACACAGCCTTCCAGGTTAGTTGAGGACACAGCTTCTTGGAGCCAAGGCCACTCAGCAGTCCCAGACCAGAGCCGGTGGGCACCCAGCTGTGGGTCACATGGAAAGCTTCGGGACAGCCCTACGGGGCCAGGGCGTCGGGGGACACCTCCCAGACTAGGTAGGAGCCAGGGTTCTTCATTATCCCAGTAGCACCTGGAGGGAGGGGGTCAGAGGTCAGGTGCGGAGCCCATTCCAGAGCTTCCCTCTTTCGCCATCCTCCCTATGGGGAGAAACAGGCCTTTCTTGGGGCTCTGGTAGCATGAAGCGTGTGGATCTACTGGAGCCAAGGCGTGGGGCAGTGACCTTGGATTTCGCACTGCCGGGAAGCTGCAGCCCCCAGAGGCCAGGCCCAGAGGAAGGTCCAAGGAGGAGTCAGGCCCTGGCACCTCTAGGAGGATTCGGGAGGACAGAGTCCAGAACCGAGCAGGGAGTTCCTAGCCAGTCCCCACCCTGACCTATGCCCCCAGCCCTTCTGAGGAAGGAAGGGGGAGCTGCCCCCCTCCCATGGGTCCACTGGTCAATTCGGGCAACATTTCATCAGGAAGAGGACCAAACCCAGGGTTGGGATGTGCTCAGGCAGGAGTGATGCAGGAGCTGCTCCTGCTTCCAGAACACCCATTCCACGGTGAGCTGCGTGCTCCCCCTCCACTAACCCTGCCTCTGCCCTCCTGCAAGGATTCTCATCCCCAGCCCCCCGGACCCACACTCACTGCCTCAGACTTTCACAGATGCACACGGCATCACCAGCTGGTTCACCCTGGGGGAGAGACGGGTGGGGGTCAAGGTGGCAGATCAGCGGGGGCCTGGCCCGGGCACTGCTCTGGCGCATCGCATCGCGGGGGCCGGCGGACCGGATGTGCTGGGCAGGGACCTCGTCAGCCCCAGGGGGAGGTGGGAGAGCCCAGGAGTGGGGAGAGGAGAGAGGGAGGGAGAGAGAGAGGAGTAAAGAGAGGAGAAAGAAGTCAGAAGATGAGAGGAAAAAGCAGGGTCAGAGCCCCAATCCTGAAAACCATTCATTCCAGGGAAAAACCCACCTAGAACCACCACAAACGCCCCGGGGCCACCCTGGGCTCCCTCTTGTGATGGAGGCAGCATCTGGAGGGCGGGAAGGCGTGGAGGCGGGGACCTTGTCAGCCAGATGACCCACCCACTCCCTCCTGTCCCAGCAAGCCCACCCTCACCCCCACACTCACTGCTGCTCAGCCTTGGCGCGGTCGCTGAGGAAGAAGAGCGCGGTGGCCAGGAAGAACATGCCACCCAGGACCACGACGAAGGGGCAGAGCATGAGGGCGTAGCCCAGGCTCAGGAACTCCCAGAGCGGGGAGTCCTTGGTGCTCTGGCGGATCAGGTCGGAGATCTGTGGGATGGGGGTGGATGTTAGGGCGGGGCCACCTTCCAGAGCCCTGCACCCCACCCAACCCCACCCCCAGTACTCACAAAGCCGATGAGGTAGGGGCTTCCGGCATCCCCCAGCAGGTGGGAGGTGAAGCTCTGCAGGGCAACGGCGGTGGCCCGTCTGGTGGGGATGACCACATACTGGGCAAAAGGCAGCAGGTCAGAGGCCAGCAGAGTCAGCTGTGCCCCCCTGGCCTCAGCCCAGGGGTCACGACACTTCTCAAGCTCCCGTGGCCTCAGACTCGCTCCTGCCCTGGTGTCTCGACTTGCTCTCCTGGGCCCTCACCCCCTCCTCCCCAGCTTCTGAGACCAGGCTGCCTTAGCGTCGGCACTTGGCCCTTGGCGGGGAGCCAAGTGCACCGGGCACAGGGATCGCATGTGGCAACCCTGGGACCAGAACCCTGGCCTCAATCTTGCCCTCACCTCCCCACAAGCTAAAGACCCATCTTGGTTTCGCCTCCGTGGGGACCTGCCAAGGCCTGGGCTGGCTGGGATGGGTGACGGGGGGAAGCAGGACCCTGCCTAAAAGAGCCTCCACTTTTACCCCCAGCACGGACTGCCAGAGCTGCTAGGCCCCCAGAACCCCCGCCAGACCAAGCAGGCCCTGACCCACAGGGGCTGCAGCTCCAAAGCTGGGCGGGCCAAGGTCAGACAGAGGGGCTGGTGGCAGAGGAGCAGGGGGCGGGCAGCAGCCACCTCAGTGGGTGCCCTGGGCAGCCCCCTGCCCCCGAGCTCAACTTCCTCATCTAGTCAGAGCCCCAGCCTTTGTGGACAGTCTGAGAGCAGCCAGTACCCACCGGGCACCCAGTTACTGGGGGGGAGGGGAGACCTGGATTGCGTGGCCCCATTTCCAGGAATAATTAGTCACTTGGCCGTGACACTTAATAAAATGGGACACGATTTCCCTGGGGCCCAAACCCTCATCTGGGGCTGCCACTGGGGCTGGGGGCAGAGGAGGGGGTCCTGCCTACCGCCAAGGGCCCTTGATTCAGGCAAACTCACTCCAACCTTCACTCCCGCACGTGCAGTGATCCCCGCCTGGCACTGAGCTGAGTCAGACCTCCCGCCCACCACACCTTTAGCCAGGGACTGGGTGAGGGGGGGCGGTGCTGGAGAGAGACCACCCTGGGTGAAGCACATACACAGGGAAGCTCGGGCGGGGCCAAGCGGGCTTCCTGGAGGGGAGCTAGCCAGGGGCCCTGATGCCCAGGCAGACTGATCTCCTAGGCTGACCCACATTCTGGCACCAAACCCCAAGTGCGCTGAAGGTGGCCCCATGAGGAGTCCTTCCTCCCCCTGCCCCCAGGGCCCACCCTGGCACCTCCCACCCTCGCCGCCGCCGGTCCCCTGCCTACCCTTCTCCCAGTTCTCTCCCGGCCCTGACTTGGAGGATCACTGAGGACAGGACCAGCCAGCCCCCCCTCCACCACCCCCGTCCCAGACTGCCGCTTGTTCTCGAGGCCACAGCCCCCTCCTGCTTCCTCCCAGGCTGCTCCCATCCCCGCCCAAGGACACGAGCCCCTGCCGCCCGCCGCTCAGATGGCTCTTTGTCCCTGGCCGCCTGGTCTGGAGCCCATTGTTGGCCCCGTGAAGACGGCCTCTGTCTGCCCGACCCAGCCACGGTCACTCGGGCAGGCGCGCCTGGAACCCGGGCTGAGCCGGGAGGGCAGAGTCCACGGGAGCTCAGACCCTGAGGGTGGAGCCCTGGCAGACAGCACCACTCTGGTGCCAGCCTGGCACTGCCAGCCTCCCGGCCACAAACCTGAGCCTCCAGACATCGCCCTCCGCACCCAGTCCCCACATCCTGCCCTTCTGCCTGCTCAACCCTCTGATTCCAGGCCCTGCCCCGATGCAGACCCCCAAATCTCTGATCCCCTCTCTCCCCTCACAAGCCCAGCCGGCTCTCCCACCCCTTCACCCACCCTCCCCATCTGCCCCGAGAGGTTGAGAGGCCCCAGTCAGCACGAGGCAACCTTGGCCTGCCTCACCATGAGGATGTCCGCTGTGATGGCCCAGTTAGAAAACAGCAGCGTCTCCCCTACAAAAATGCAGATCTGCCCGGGAGAGACCAGAGCAACCATCAGGGGGCGCTCTACCCGCCACTGGCCCCAGGCTGCTCCCTGCACCCTGACTGCTGGCCGGGAGCCCCCAGAAGCCTTCCCCCCGGCTCCTGGCGGTCAGGCGCACGGGGAATTTGTGGATTATCTACAGGCTTCAAGCCAGGCCCACAGCCCTGGACAGAGCAGGGGCAGACTGAGGACTGAAGCCTCCCTGTGGGGGAGCCGTCCCACCCCCTGCCCCAAGTCAGACTGCATTTCCTCTTCCAGAGCCCAGCTGCCCCGCCACCCTGGCACTCCCACCGCACTCACATAGGCCCCCACGATGCTGCTCTTGGCCGCCACGAAGATGAGGCAGATAAAGATGGCGGAGCCCAGCATCCCCACAGCGCACACCAGCGGGTCAGCCCGCTGCGTCCGCAGGCGGCACCAGCGTGTGGCTCCTGCGCCCGTGACCACGCCGAGAAAACCCGTAAAGCAGGTGATGGCCCCGAAGATGAGGCTGCGGAGACAGAGGACGGTGCAGCACGGGTCAGAGGGCAGGGCTGGGGTAGAGGGGCCGGCGGCCTCCCTCACCCCGCCGCCGTCCCCGCCCGCCCACTGAGCCCGCCTGGCCGCACCTGTCCTTGGCCGCACAGGGCGGGCTGCTGCACGTCTCCGCCGCCTTCTGCACGACTTGGGCGCGGTGCAGGTAGAGCGGGATCCACATGCCCAGGGCCCCTGTGGCGAAGGACACGGCCGACGTGGCCAGGGAGGAGAAGACGTAGCTGCGGCTGGGGAGAGGCCGGGGCAGCAACACTGAGCGGGGGGCCAGCATCCCCGCAGCTGGCAGGGTCGGGCCCAGGCGGCAGGCTTTCCTCCCTCCTTCCCCCAGGGACAGAAGGTCTCAAATGCCTTGCCCACGGGCTCTGGGGCTGAGGGCTCTGGCTTCAGGGATCATAAACACTAGTAGCCCCAGCACTGTGGACAGGGAGTCTGGCCAAGCAGGCTGTGTGGGCCAGCCTGCAAGCTGGGGTCCTCTCATCTCGGCGCCCCGCCCTCCCTCTTCCCACCGGACCCCTCCCAGCAGCACTCACTTGCGGATCAGGGCCTTCATGTCTCGGAGCCATGACGTCCGGGCCTTGAGCTGCCCCCCGAGCTGGTCAGCATGGCCTCTCTTAGTGGCCGGGACCAGGACGAGGATGAGCGTTCCTGTGATCATGCCCAGGATGGGGGACACCTGGTGGGTCAGGGCACACCAAGTTAGGACACCAGCGCCCAGGCGTCTTTGTCTCCGCTGCACCTGGAAGGGGGAGCAGGCCAGCCACGCCTTCTCTGGGCCCTGGGCTCCTCGTCTGGGCTAGTATCTGCTCAGCCTTCCTGACTGGGCAAAGCCACTGGGGGTGAGGCTAGCATATGGGGCTTGGGGGCTCAAAATGGGCTGTGCCGACCAGGGGCAGGATGGGAGGGAGGGATGGTCAGATGGATGGAGGAGGGAGGACAGATGGCTGAATAGTCAGAGAGATGGATAGACAGATGGATGGATGGATGGATGGATAGATTGCTGGGTGGATGAATTAACACATGGAAGGACAGGAGGATGGATGAGTGGATAGGTGACGAGTGACGAGTGATGGATGATGGGTGATCGATGGAACAAAAGGAAGACAAGTAGGTGGGCGGACACATGGAATGATGACTGGGAGAGGAGAGTTCCTGGGGACAGGGAGCCAGATACCAGCTCCTGCCCGCCTCCCTGGGTCTGGAAAAGTTTCCCAGGCCAGCTCCTCACCCTGGTGGTGGGGGGGGCACTGAGAAGGGACTGGCTGCGCATGTAGCTTATCGTTTGGGAGGGGCCCGTGTGGGTTCCAGGAGAACAGAGGCTCAGGAGCCCCTTTGGGTCTTCCCTGCATCCTGTCCAGTGTCGAGAACAGAATCTCCAAGGCCCCAGGCCTCTCTCCAGATGGAAAGAGCACATCTCGGGAGTCTGGATTCCAATATACCAGTCCCTCCACCAGCTCCTGAGAACAGGGAAATCTGTACCCGTCCCCACCAGGCCTGGGAGCCCATGGTCTGGGGAGTTCCTCTCCATGCGCCGCCCCCCATGAAAAAATTCCACGGAGGCTGCTTCCTTCCTGCTTTTGAGGAAAAAACACTTTGTCTTAAGCTTCCTCTCCTTCACAAGACTGGGGATCTCTGTTTCCTCTGATTGCACTGTCCTGGGGCCTTGGCAGACTTGTGCCGAATCCTCCTGCAGGACAGGAAGTGGCTCCAGACCCCGGGGCCCTCACACAGAGGTCTCGCCTCAGCCCCACCCCAGCACAGGGCCACAGCAGGAAGTGCCGCCATGAACGTGGAATTTCCTTCGTCCTCACAGACTGGGGCCCCTGAGTGGGGCGAGCCTGGCACCCTTCACACCTCCAAGTGAACGGAAGGAGAAGAGCCCAGGCCCGCGAGGTGGGGAGCCTGGTGGCTGAGGCTCTGTCCCTGAATCTCTGGGTGACCCTGGGCAACGGCTGGTCTGGGGGTGTCCTTACCCGCAAGGCCCAGTGCCAGTCTCCGGCCGCCTGCTTCACGCTGGAGCCGGTGATGTAGCCCAGGCCGCTGCAGAGAGGACGGGACGGTCAGGCAGGGATGGGCAGGGCGTCGGGGGCAGGGGATGCTCACCAGTCTAGGAGGCCACCAGCCCCCGCCCCCACCCAGCCAGCCAGGGAGCTGGTCCAGGCGCTTCTCAAGGCTGCCTGCCCATGTGTTTAGGTCGCAGAGGGCCAAACTCCAGGGAGAGGGAGTGGTAAGAAATCCGAAGGGACCTGGCCCGGATCCTCACCTGCCCAGAGGGATGGCGAAGTAGAAGACAGACAGCATGAGTGTGCGTGTGTTCTTGGTGAAGAGGTCGCCGATGATGGTGGGCGCGATGGTGGAGTAGCTGGCCTCACCGATGCCCACCAGCCCGCGGGACAGGACCAGCAGCCAGAAGTGCTGTGGGGAGGGGCGGAGAGCGCTGGGGGGGGTGGCCCACCTGCTCCCTTGCCTGCGCATCCCCGCTCCCCGCTTTGCTCCCTACCCGCGGCAGGGCCCAGGAGAGAGGGTGGAGCCCAACCCCTGCCTCAGCAACGACTACACCCCAGGCCACTCTGGGCCTCAGTTCCTGCCTCTGAATAGTGGGTCGGACTGGGTCTAGCCGGCCCAGTGCTCGGATGGAGCTGGACTTTCAGGGGCTGAGAGTTGTAGGTTTGGCGGGGGACGTAAGCCTGTGTCTCCACTGCCACCCTGACTCATTGGGAGACTTCCTCCCTGGGTTCTGGCCCCATCTTGGGAGCCTCAAGCCACCCCTACTCTGTGTCCCATCCCCTGACCAGGCAGCTGGGCTGACCCTAGCAGCACTGAGGACCCAGTGTAAATGGGGAGTGGGCAGGGCAGCCCAGTGGGCTCAGTGCCCCTCCCCCATGCACACATCAAAGAGCAAAGCCCAGCTACATGGGAAGGGTGGGGCCGTGCCAGCTGCCAGTGGTTCTACCCCTTTGATGTGGACCCAGCCCCTGCATCCCCCCAGCTGCCCAGGTCCTGAGAACCAAGCCTGGTCATTTTTCCCCGGCCCCACCCCGACCACCCATCCGGCCAGCATTGCCCACATCCAGCCCTCCTCTGGGTCTCCCTGTTTCTGCACATCTCTTTCCCGGCCCTCTCTCTGTGTCGCTGGTCCTGCCCATCCATGTCTGCGCCTCTCGTTTCCATAGTTCATTCGCTCTCTCACCCTCCATCTCTGAGTCTTCCTTCTCCTGGCCCCTTGCCTGGGCTTCTTTCCCGGAGAAGCAGCAGCCCACAGCCTTTGCCTATTTTTCTGTTGGGTTCTTTGTCTTTCTTGTATTGGTTTCTGTTAGCGTTTTCTATATCATGGGAATTGAGGTTTATTAGATAGGTCACAAATATTTTCCATCATCTTTCTTTCCACTTTGTTTGTGGGGAGTTTCATCATACAGAAGCTTTATTTTGTGTTGGTTAATTTGATGCTGTCCAAGCTGTTGATTTTCCCTTAATGGCTTCTGGATTTCACATCTTGCTCAAGAAGGGCTAGTCCATCCCAGAATGATACAAAATATTCTTTTATCTTTTATGTTTGTTATATTTTAGAAAGAGAAAGAAAATGGGAGTGATTTCCTTATTCTCCTCCGTACAAGAGCAGGCAGATAAGACCTCTTTGACAAGGGATCCCATAGATCCCCACTCCTCCCCCAGGAACTGGCTATCTTGTGCATTTGTCACGACTTCCTCTCTACCTTTGCCTGCACATACATGTACCAAGGAACAACATTTAGTGTCCCCTGTGTGCTCTCAGAAAATAAACATAAAAAGACCATCCCTCGGACTTCCCTGCCGGGCCGGTGGTTGAGAATCCACCTTCCAGTGCAGGGGACGCGGGTCCGGTCCCTGGTTGGGGGACTGGGAGCCCACATGCCGCAACTACTGAGCACATGAACCACAGCTAGAGAGCAGCCCACGTGCCGCAACGAAGATCGTGCGTGCCGCAACTAAGACCCGACACGGCCAAAAGTAAAATAAATATTAAAAAAAAGAGAGAGAGCATTCCATGCATCTTGTCCCACAGCTTGATTTTTCCCTCATTTTGGAAACCCATTTCAGCTGGTTAACATAGAGCTAGTCCATCCATGTGCTGCTAAGAGGCTCACGGTATGAATACACCCCACTCTATCTGGGCGCCCCCCAAGTCGAGGTCATTTAGTTTCTCTCTTCTTTTTCGATTACAAAACTTGCAGCAAACATCCTTACGTAAACCTGTCACTCTGTGTCCACAAGTTGGGAGTTTCTCCCTTCGGCATATACCCCCAAGTAGAAGGCTGGGCTGTGCGGTGTACACAGAATTTTACAAAATCCTGCCCCACTTTGCTCTCCAAAGAGGCTCTACCAATTTACACTCCCACTAGTAGCTTGAATAACACTTGGTATTGTCAGCCTTTTTAATTGCTGCCAATATGATGGGTGTGAAATGGTAACTCACTGTTGTTTTAATTTGCAGTGCCCTGATTACTCAAGAAGCCGAGAACCATCTCTTCCTACATATGTTGCCTGTTGGGGGATCTTCCCCTGGAAGTGCCTGTCACTATCCTTTGCCCATTTTTTCTACCGGGTTGTTTGTCTTTTTCTGGTTGAATTATAGTTCTAGACCTTTATGGTTCGCTTTTTACTTAACTTTCACCTAGCTGGGATTTATTTTGAAGTATGGTTAGAAATACAGACCATACTTTATCTTCCATCCAGATGGAGAGTCAATACTCCCAAAACCATTTATTTGAGATGCAACTTTCATCCTCCACTCAATTCCCATAGAAAGGAGGACTCTGTCTCCTTGATCTCTGAGTTTATCCCTCTACTGTTTTCATTAGAATAGCCATGTTCTGATAACTGATAGGACAAGAGCCCTTTCATTGTTGTTTTCACAATGTTCTTGGCTGTTCCTGGGCACTTTCTCTGCCAGATTTACCTCAGAATCACATTGCCAAGGTCCGCCAAAAACCCCCCACGGGACTCGGATTGTGACTGCAATGAACTCATAGATTAATTGGGAGTGATCCGTTTCTCTCTCTGCCTCTACTCATCTTCTCTCCCCGTCTCTCCCTTCCCTCCACACACCCAGAGTGGGGCCCAGCCCTGACATCGCGCTCCTGTACTCACTGGTTAACCCCAGAAGCAGCCCCAGAGGTCAGACAATGAGGAGCCTGGTCGGGGGCAGAACAAGAGCCAGAGGGGGTCCAGAAGCTTCTTCTGGTCCAGTCCCCATTTTTGACTGTGGCCATCAGGCTCTACCTGACGTTCTAGGCCTGGGATCTTTTGGTTTTTTTTTTTTTTTAATTTATTTTTAGCTGCGTTGGGTCTTCGTTGCTGCACGCGGGCTTTCTCTAGTTGCGGCTAGCGGGGGCTACTCTTCGTAGTGGTGCGCAGGCTTCTCATTGCGGTGGCTTCTCTTTTTGCAGAGCACGGGCTCTAGGTGCACGGGCTTCAGTAGTTGTGGCTCACAGGCTCAGTAGTTGTGGCGCACGGGCTTAGTTGCTCCGTGGCATGTGGGATCTTCACAGACCAGGGCTCAAACCTGTGTCCCCTGCATTGGCAGGTGGATTCTTAACCACTACGCCACCAGGGAAGTCCTAGGCCTGGAGCTTATTACCTGGCCTGACCCTTCTCTATGAAGCTGCCCCATGAAGCAAACTTGTATCCCCCAAACCTGCCAGTTCTCTCTGCCCTCACCTCCAACCTCCTCTCTATCAGTGTAAATCTGACTCACCATTGCCCTTCTTCAGACTCTTCCAGGGTCCAGCACTTCCCTCAGGAGAAAGCTCAGGCCTTCCAACCTGGCATTCAAGGCTCTCCATGACCTGGTCCCTGCCTTCCTTTCCAGCCAAAGCACTCTCCTCCTCAATCTACCAACACACTCCACCATTTCTGCCTCCATGGGGCTGCTCCCTCTGCCTGTGCTATCTTCACCAAAAGGCCTAACCTCCCTGTCTTGCCTGCCCAGCTCAACTGCCACCTCCTCCAGGAAGTCTTCCCTGACCACATGGATGTCAGAGACTGCTCTCTCTTCAGTGAGGACTTTCAGCACTTTGCTTATCTTGAAGGCTCTGAACATGGGAGCTCCTGTCACATCTTCCCATCCCCAGGCCTGGGTGCTCCCAAGGCCAGGGTCTCCTCCTTTGTCCCCTAGGCTGAACATTCCCTGAAGGCAAATCCTGGTCTTCTCCCCTTCTTTTTTTTTTTTTTAAGATTTAATTTTATTTATTTTTGGCTGCTTTGGGTCTTCATTGCTGCATGCAGGCTTTCTCTAGTTGCAGCGAGCGGGGGCTACTCTTCATTACAGTGCGCAGGTTTCTCATTGTGGTGGCTTCTCTTGTTGCGGAGCACGGGCTCTAGGTGCGCGGATTTCATAGTTGCAGCACGCAGGCTCTAGAGCTCAGGCTCAGTAGTTGTGGTGCACAGGCTCAGTAGTTGCGGCATGCAGGCTCTAAAGTACAGGCTCAGTAGTTGTGGTGCACGGGCTTAGTTGCTCCACGGCATGTGGGATCTTCCTGGACCAGGGCTCGAACCTGTGTCCCCTGCATTGGCAGGCGGATTCTCATCCGCTGCGCCACCAGGGAAGTCCCTCCCTTTCTTCCTCTATCTCCCTCTATAGTAGCCATCATGTGATTGTCCATCCTCTGCTTGAAGACCCCTAGTGACGGGACACTCACTACCTCTCAGAGCAACGTATCTCCTCATTGGAAGAAAGAACAGAAATAATGATTTGTTGAAACCTGCCATGTGTCAGGGTCTGGACATTCATGAGTTCAATTATTTCTCACAACCACCCTTCATACTAAGAAGTATTATCCCCAATTAAAGATGAGGAAATTGAGGCTCAGAGAAGTTTCTCCAGATCACAAAGCTGAGCGGGCAACAGAATTGGGATATTCAAATCCAGAACTGCAGGAGCCAAGTAAGAAACATCTTCCTTCCTGGGAATTCCCTGGCAGTCCAGTGGTTAGGACTCCACACTCTCATTGCTGAGGGCCTGGGTTCAATCCCTGGTTGGGGAACTAACATCCCACAAGCTGCACATTGTGGCCAAAAAAAAAAAAAAACAGAAAGAAAGATCTTCCTTACACTGAACTAATGTTTGTCTCCCTAGGACTTTGACCCAAGGAGTTGGCTGATGGTCGGACAAAGAGCAAACTGTGTGAGGCCTAGAGAAGGGTAGTGACGCATCTAGGGTCCCACAGCAAGATGACGGCAGAGCCAGAACTAGAACCCAAGGGTCCTGACTCCTTGGCCAGACTTGCCCCCCTGATCCTTGCATCCTCCCCAAATCAGAAGCAGCTCAGAGAGAGTCAGGATGCCACACAGGGCTGTGAGTCCCTCAGTTCAGGGCCAGCACGGGGAAAGCCCAATCGGTAGGGCCAATGTATAGAAGTACCCAAAGACCCCCCTCATCCCACCATACTTGGACCCAACGGGCTGGAACCCCAGTCTAGACTAGGATAGGTCAATCAGACTTGCCACCCGCTGGAGGAACCAGGACACAGGGACAGGATGAGCAGGAATGCCGGGTGGAATGCCCGGGCAGGCCTCACCTGCTGCGGGATGAAGGAGCTGGAGAACGTGACAGCCGACCAGAAGAAAATCCCACAGCTGAGGATCACTCTCCTGTTGAAGCGGTCACCCAGGTAGCCAAAGATGGGGGCAGCCACCATGAAGCTGCAGATAAATGCTGCGTGGGGAGAGGAGAGCCGCAGTTGTGGCACAGGGGTCTCATGGCTGAGCCCACCCGCCCAGACCACCCAGCGAGAGGCCAGGCGCCTGCTGAGGAAGCAGCCGCTGCCCGCGAGGGGCAACCTCGGCCAGATCTGGGCCCAGGGGAGGCGGGACAGGCCCTCTGGGTTAGGAGACTCCACGACTCCATCCTCTTCAATGCCCAGTGGCAGACGAGCCCTTCGGGTACTTTTTAAAAGAGTAAAGATTATTCACTGAACACTTTCTACTTGTCAGGTGCTAGGGGCTCACCACACAGCATCTTGTGTATCTTTCTGACCCCCATCCCACCTCACAGATGGGGAGACACTCAGAGAGAAGTGACCTGCCTAAGGCCCCACCGATAGTAAATGTCCCAGTGGGGATTTGGCCCCCTGTCTGACTCCAGAGCCAGTGTTCCTTATACTTTGCCATGCTACTCTCCTTATTATACTGGAAAAAAAGGTTCAGAGAGGGAAAGGGACCTACCCAAGGTCACACAGCAAATTGGGGCAGAACTGGACCTGGAACCCCCAGTCTTATACCTGCCAGATCACACAGCCACCCTCACTCCCAGCAGACTGCAGAGACTTTCCTGACATTTGGCAACATTGTCATTCATTTGTTCATTCATTCACTCATTCATTCATCCATCCTTTCATCCATTCAACAAAGACCAAAATTCCTAGACTCTTGCAGTTTTCATTCTAGTGAGAAACAATGAAATAAAAAACATAGTATGTCAAGGGGTGACACATGCTAAGGAGGGAAAAAGGGCAGAAACAGGAGATAGGAAAAGTGTGTGAGAAAAAGAAAACAGATGTTAACATTTTAAATAGAAAGGTCAGAGGTGACATTTCAGCAAAGACCTGGAGGAGAGGAGGAGACAAATCATGCAAATATTGGGTTGAGAACAGCAAGTGCAAAGGCCCTGGGGCAGGAATGTGCTTAGCATATTTGTGGAACAACAAATAGACCAGAGTGGCTGGAGCAGAGGGACCCTGGGGAAAAGGCCAGATGGGGTAGGGCCTTGTGGCTCACTGTGGTGACTGTGGCTTCTACGGGTGAGAAAGGAAAACACCAGAGGATGCTGAGCAGAGGAGTGATGTGACCTGGTTTTGTTCTTCCAGAACAATAGAGCAGCAGAGTCTTAGAGGACCCTGTGGGGATGGCACTACTAGTATGGGAGGGGCCTTCGAGGTCTCAGGGGGGATAAAGAGTCCAGCAACGCAGGGTAGTCGCTAGGTCATGCGGTGAGGCAGCCCCTGATTCCTCCTCCTGGAAGGCCATCCCACAGCTGACGGGCAGATGGCCAGACAAAGGCCGGGTGGGCAGATAAGGTGGCCGGCCAAGCTAAACATTCACAGGGTCTGGCTGTTCCCTCACAGACCTGAGCCCCTAGGAGAAGAGATAGAGGGAGGGGAGGAAGGAGGCAAGGAGGTGAGAGCAGGCTGGGCTGGTGCAGCGCGACTGTCCCTCACTTATCCCAGGGAGCAGGATGGTGAGCGTGTATGGGTGTGGGGGGCAATCTTTTAACCCCAACTGTGTGATTGGGGTCTCGGGCAGAATCAGCAGAGAGGTGCACAAATCTGGGCACCAGAGACGCAGTGCCTGGTCTTGAATTCAGCTCTATTCCTTTCCAGCTGGGTGACCTTGGGAAGGTCACAACCTCTCTGTCCCTCAATTCAGTGGTGCACTGATAAATGTTTAGCAGCTGGCTCTCCAAAAATGAGGCGGGGTGGGGGGGAGCCCTGATGTGTAGTGTTTGCCCGTTTTCATGGTGCACATACTCCCACCATGGCCTGATTTCAAGCTACCAAGGTGATGTCACTAATCAGAGTTGGGAAGAGAGATGCAGTCACAGAGCTGTACATGGAGTATTTCTACCACCTAGATCCAACAGATATAAATAACCTTAAGAACGTAGATAATAGTGAAAGGTAGCAAAATAATTAGGGGGTGATGAATTCTGAATGTTTATTACCTTTGGGTTTTTCTTTTTAATAGCTCTTTGGAGTATAATTATACAAAGTATAACTGTATCATTGCTTCACCATACTGTGTTAGTTTCTGTTGCACAACAAAGCAAATCAGCCATACGCATACACGTGTCCCCACATCCCCTCCCTCTTGAGCCTCCCTCCCACCCTCCCTATCCCAACCCTCTAGGTCATCGCGAAGCACCGAGCCGATCTCCCTGTGCTCTGCTGTGATGTCGTGTAATTGTAAGTTTATATAATTTAGTTTGCAATAACGGTTGTGCTTAACAACCAGCTCACACAATTCCTGAAAATTTAACAATCAACTCTCATGAACCTAAGCCACCTCCAGCACACCAACTTCCTCATCTGTAAAATAAAGATAAAAATAGCAACTCCCTGCTTGCTCTGAGCACTGGATGAGATAATGCGTGTAAGGTGCTTAATGCCACGCCCTGCCCATGCCCAGAGTGGGTCAGCTCTTGGTCAACACTGGGCCCTTGTTTAGATCAGTCAAGGTAGAAATTATTTCTTCTTATCTAGAAAAAGAATTTTTCCTGCTGGGTCTGTCTCCCAGGACCTGCCTGAGATCAGACCAGGATATGGGCTGGAAAGAGATTTCAGTCTCATCAGGACTTACACATGTTAGGGGAGAAGGAAGAATTGTTGCCTCTATGCCTGTCTGTATTAGGTGAGGAGTGGACAGAAAGAATCAGAATAGGAGTTGCCCCCCTGTCTGGCCAAGAAGCAGACCCTGTCCATGGGTTGCCCAGCTTAAAGAGTTAAAATGCCAGGGAACCAGCAAGGAGGGCCAAATCCTACCAAGACAATGAAGGGAGGCTTCACAGAGGCAGTGATGGCAGAGCAGGGCACTGAAGGCTGCATAGGAGTTCACCCTGATGATACTACTTAAAATCAAGTATACTAAAATATGAATTACAAATCTTATAAGACTGTATAATGGTTAATGAGGCATAATGCTTATTGTTAGGGATAACTGCAGTTACCGTTCATGGAGCATTTACTATAGGCAAGGCCCAGGGATGTGCCCTGGCCATAAGCACAGATGATCTCATTTGATTCTCCCTATTACCTTCATCTTACAGAGGAAACAGTAGAGGCTAAAAGGAGTGACATCATACAGCTCGTGTGTGGCTAAGCCAGAATTTATACCCCAATTTGACTCCAGAGTCCTTGCTCTAAATCACACCACAGGTGGCCAGGCTGGGAAGGCGGAAGATCCCAGCTGATGTTCCAAAGGTCAGAGAAAGTTCAGGGTGTGTCGGGGACAGCAGGAAGACGCATGAGGCTGTAGGCTGGGAAGGTGATACAGAGAGGAAGCAGTGGGAGAGGAGGCCACTGAGGGAGATCGGGCCCTAACCCCTAGTTCCAGGTTTGGTGTTAGTTAGAGGGCAGTGGAGATCCACAGCACACTGTTCTCCCCCTTCAAGGAGGAGCGCTGGCCGAGCCCCCACTGGGTGGGTGCAGAGGGGCTGGAGGAGGTGGGCCAGGCCTCGGCCAGGCCTCGGCCAGACCTCGGCCAGACCTCAGCCATCCTGGTCTACCCCTATCCTCCTGTCCACAGCAGAACCGGAAGGCAGCCGCCCTAGTGCTTTCCCCGCTGGCTTTCTGCCTGCTCTTCTGGTTGGGCAGAGGCACCTGGGACTTCAGATGGACTCCTGCTGGGGCAGCCACATCCCATCCCCACCCCTGTCCCGCCAAAGGTCACCAAGTCCCAACCTGAGTTTTACCGTCTGTCCCATTGTACAGCTGGGGCCACTGGAAGGTGGAAGAACTTGCCCAAGATGACACAGCAACCCTCCCGACCCTGGACTCACTTGTCTCTCAGGGCCTTCCCCTTGGGGACAAGGGAATCCAAGGTCAGCAGGGAGACACAATCCATCTTTCCAGCCCTCCCTTCTGCTCTGGGGAGCCAAGAGAAAGGGCCTCTCCCGGCCCTCAGGGTTGTCACAAGCCAGCAGAGAGGCCTGAACACAACTAGGTAGGGCCTGGAGGGAAATAAATTCCTGGCAGAAGGAACAGCACAGGGGCTTCCCTGGTGGCGTGGTGGTTAAGAATCCACCTGCCAATGCAGGGGACACAGGTTCGAGCCCTGGTCCGGGAAGATCCCACATGCCGTGGAGCAACTAAGCCCGTGCGCCACAACTACTGAGCCTGCGCTCTAGAGCCCGCGAGCCAGAACTACTGAGCCTGCATGCCACAACTACTGAAGCCTGCGCGCCTAGAGCCCGTGCTCCGCAACAAGAGAAGCCACTGCAATGAGAAGCCCGCGCACAGCAACGAAGAGTAGCTGCCACTCGCTGTAACTAGAGAACGCCAGCGCACAGCAATGAAGACCCAACGCAGCCAAATAATTAATTTAAAAAAAAAAAAAAAAAAAGAAGAAGAAGCAACAGCACAGGCAAAGGCCTGGGCAGGTGACCCATGTCCCAGATGGGGGCGCAGACCCTTCTCCAGCCAGCGGGAAGCTCTGCTGAAAATAAAGACCAGCCCGGCCTAGAAGCTTCCTGGGCTCAGCACCCACAACCCCACAGTCTTTGTCTGGTTGAGGAGAGCTTTCTGGGCAGACTGGCTGCCCCACCCCTGGTCTCGGCAGGGCCGGCTTTCCCGGCACGAGGACATCCTGTGGTCGGGGTGTGGGGAAGCCCTCCGTCAGCTCACGTGTGCTGAGCCCACAGGTCTGGGACAATGGAGCCGCTGGCAGGGAGCCAGGGCAGGGGGCAGGGCCGCGGAGGGCCGAGTGGGAGGAGTCAGAGCCCTTGGCTCACCCGGAGAAGCTAGGGCTGAGCCTCACTCCCTCCTCTGCAAGATGGGTGATGCGCCCCTCCTCACAGGGCCGGCAGGAGGTCATCAAGGAGACAGGGATTGGGCAGCATCCCTAAGGCGCCACCCACCTCTCATGGTGCTGGTTGGAGGCCTTCTCCCGTGGGCCTGCCGAGGAGGCCAGCACCCAAAGCTTGAAACGACTCCCGCCGAGGGTTCTACGCCCCTTCAGGCAGCCCCCCGACCACCTGCACTCCGAACCCACGGAGCTGCTGAGAAGGTGGCCCTGGAGCAGAAGCGGGTGAGGTCTGCGCTGGGGGAGCCCTGAGCCCCCAGACTGTGGCCTTAGAGCACATGTCCATCCCCACCTCAGCCTGGGCTGAACCAGGTCTATTTTTACAAAGTCCGGATCTGGCCAACTTGTTATTTGGAGGAGACTCGCCATCCTCCACATCCTGTGGGCAGGGAGGGTGCTCGGGCAGGCGTGGGGTGGGTGGGGTCAGGCTCTGCCCGAGCACCCTCCCTGCCCACAGGATGGGGAGGATGGAGGCCCAGGCCGGCAGGCTGATGGGGAGGACCCAGAACAGCCGGCGCCATCGGTACCTGGAAGCCCACCAGACTCAGAGCCCCTACGGGAAGAATGGGAACTACTCCTCCTTCAGACTCTGCTCAGAATATAAATCCTAGGTTGGCCACTGAGGCCTCAGGAAGGGAGATTCTCGGGCCTCCCTTCTAACAGGAGGGTCCTGCGGGGAGAGCCACGGGGGCTGCCCAGCTCTGCCTTCAGAACCTGAGTCTCTGTCGAAGTGGGAGGATATTGCAAGGCTGGCCAAAGTGAGGAGGGAGCAAGGCCAGGAGACTTGGTCCCAAAGCAAAGGCGCCGTCTGGTTTCAGTCTGAGCTGGCTCTTCCTCTGTCCCCACTCTCCCCCTGCCCCCGCCCCCCAATCCTGACACTTCCTCGTGATGCCACGAACCCCAGCCCTGAGTTGGTCCCGAGGGGAAACAGCAGGGGCAGGCCCAGGCCGAACTCTCAGCCACCCCACGCCCCACCCCCCGACCCTGTCTCCTGGCCCAGCAGCTCCTGGTGCCCACAAATAAGCAGGCACCCCAGCTGTCAGCCCTGGCCCTTTGATCTGGGCAAGCAGCAACACCTGGCTCTGACCTTATGAGGGAAGAGCCAGGTGCACGGGGCCGAGGCCAATTAGGTGACTTGCCTGGTAGCCCATTGGGTCACATCCTGGTCTAGCCCACCTGGCTTCTTGGCTCAGTTGGCCAGAGAGGCAAGGACATTCTGAGGAGCCATTCCAGCTGTGCCCAGGGTAGGTGGGAGGGTGAGGGCCGCAGAGTAATGACTAGAGGGTCTCAGAGAGTGCTGGGAACTCTCACCGTGGCCCAGAGGCACCCACCCCGAGAACACTCAGACACCTGGGATAAGCCTCACCAATCCAGCGGCCACCTGTGCCCCCATCCCAAGCCAAGAGGAAGTCCCAATGTCAGGCCTGCTACTCTCTCACCATGAGACCTTAAACAAGTCATTTCCCCTCTCTTGACCTCTGTCCTTCCATTTGGAAAGTGAAGCTGACCAAAGGGGGCTTGTAGGAGGAAGACTCAAACAAGATGACGCTGTGGATGATTTATCCCCCTCCGGCCAGGTCGCCAGGGATAAGAAGGACACAGCCTGGGACATAATTGAGGCAGCGCTAGGACCCTCGCAGCCCTCCCAACCCGCTCCCTGGGCGGCTACACTGGCCCTGACCTCTATCAGTGAGAGTTGAATGGAGGAGGCCAGAGCAGGAGGGGGATGAGGCTTGGGCTGGGTCCCCAGTGACTCAGGGGCCACGGAGCAGGGGGATGGGCAGCTAGGCTCCCTCCTGCCCTTCCCTCACCAGCTCGGCAGCCTGATCCCTCCCACACTCCCATCCGGCTTCAACTCTGTCTCTCCAGCTGGAAGTGCTGGTCACTGCATTGCACGGAGCCCAGGAGGCTGGAGGAACCTGTCCCGGGCCCCGGGTCAGGATGACTTGCTCTGACCTGGGGGGGGGGGCCAGGCAGGGGGGGGGGGGGGGGGGCGGAGCCAGCAGAGGGGCTTGGGCTCACATCCCGGGTGGAGGTGATGTCTGCAGGGGCAGGGGCCTGGGCGCCCTTAGGAGGAACTGGACGGCACAGCCTTGCCCTATAGTCCCAGCTCGGTTAATTCTCATGTATTCAGGCTGAACCCTGGAGCTTTCATCTCCCCTCTCTGAGCCCCAGAGGCCCCATCTAGGAAATGAGGATGGGCACTGAGCCTAACTGAATGGCTGTGGCTCAAGGAGGCTGTGGAGGCCTGGCACAGTGCGTGGTGGAATGCCACCCAGACAGGTCAGGCAGGTTCCTGGACAGAGCCAGCCTCTCTGCCCCTCCCTCCCAGGAGAGCCCGGGAGGGGACGGGGCTCCCAGAGTGGAATGCAGACCATGCACCTTCGCAGCCACATCTGACTGGGCCTCACGGCCAGATGGACTCCACGACCAAGGGGAAACAGCAAGGTCAGGGCCGAGTCAGAACCAGCCCTGGGATGAAATACTGGCTCTGAGTCTCCGCCCAGGCCTGAGGGTCCTGCAGAGGGCACAGCCGGCAGGGCCGCAGCCAGTGGAGGGCCAAGAGCTCAGGTCCTACAGGGCTACACAGCAGGCAGGGCAGTCACAAGGTTGACATGGACCCTGGAGGGAGGGGCAGAGGCTGGAATAGCTGCTTACTCACCTGCCATGCTGCCCTGGCCCAGGGGGGCTCGGGCCCTGCCTCCCCACCAGTCCCAAGGCTGGACCCCAGGGGGTGAGGGGCTGAGAACCTCAAGCCCAGGTCTAGTCTGGGACCCAGGTTCTCAGGCTCCTGCCCTGGGCCTGCGAGAGGCTCTTGGGCTGACCAGCTGGAGTTTCCTGTTTGGGCTTCTGAGAGGTGACTCCCAGGTTGCCTGCATTCCTGTATCTCACCCACAGGCCCTCAGGGCAGGTGTTATTTGCTTTGTTTCACAAGAATAGAAGCAGAGGCTCGGGAAGTGGTGCCTTTTGTGAGAGGCAATGGTGGGATTTGGACACAAAACTCACGCCCTTTCCAGCAAGTCAGGACCAGGGAAGAGACAGGCAGGGAATCCCCACCAGGTATTAGAAAGCAGGAGGGGGGCCAGGGCGGGAGGGGGACCTCACCTGACTGCAGCAAGCCGGCGCCTCGGTCCTTGACCCCAAAGTGCTGCTGGATATCCAGAAGGACACCTGGGAGGAGAAGATAGAGGGTGGTTACTGGCGACGCCTGACGCCTGGGGGCCCCCACTCGCACACCCCACCTAGGCGACCCTCAGCCCCAGCCCAGCCCTCTTTCCACCTTGCAGGGCCCAGCCTGGCCCCATCTAGAGAACCCCACCCCGCCGAGTTTAGCCAGGCCACCAGAAACCTTGGAGGCCAAGCTTCTACCCTGAGGTGCTCACACTGGGGACAGGACCACATCCCCTCACTCGGCCAGTGTGGGGTCCAAGGTGCAGACAGGCGAGGCTCCTCCATGGTTACTCGGCCCAGCGGGGCAGCCAAGCCTCCTACCAGCCTGGGCCTCTTGCCCATCTGCAGCTCAGCCCCAGACTAAGTGCTGGGACCCCAGACGTGGACCCTGCCGTCAGGGGAGACCACAAAGCCCACAGCCCAGAGAGTGGGTGGGCAGCCACTGAAAGCTGCAGGAGAAGCCCCCTGGCCGAGGAGAGGGCGGAGAGGGCTCACAGGCAACACACACACCCGCTCACCTGCACGTGTGCACAAACATGTGCTCCCCCAGCTGTCCTCAGGACAATAACCAGGACTCCCAATTTTCTGATGCAGGAGCCCAGAGGCAGAGGGAAGCAGACGGGGCTCCGGGCCTGCTTTCCTGGGGGAAGGGGAGCCCTTGAGGCCATGTCTGCCCTTCTCCCAACTCCCAGCCACCTCTGCGCTCGTTAGGGCTTTTTACGTCAAAGAGGGGCGGCAACCAGAACAACTAGAAACGATCGACAGCTGTGGACAGACCCAGCCGTGGTTGTATAGAGGCCAGCAACTGCCCAGCCCCCTCTGACCCCGTGCAGCCCTCAGCCAGGGCTCCCGGGTAAGCCCAACCCCCAGCCCCACAGCTCCCAGGGCCCCTGCCTCAGCTTATCTGAGGACAGCAGGAGACTGGGCCACAGGCCAGAGTCCCCCTGACCACTGCACGTCTGCACTGAGAAGAAAGAGGGGAGAAAGGAGACAGGGCCTGTCTCAGGAGCTCCCCATGTAGGGGACAGAGGAAGGGACCAGGACCCTGCCTTCCGGGGACTCCCAGAACTATTCGATACGATGGTGATGATGACGTCAGCATTTAAAATGATGATGGTTCGTATTATTGAGCATTAAGTGCTTCATTAGTTTAACCCTCACACAACCCTATGAGGCTGGTACTATCATCTCACTGGATAGATGAGGAAACTGAGGCACAGAAGGGTAAGCCACATGTTCAAAGTCACACCACAGGGAAACGGGTGAAAGTGGAATCTCCAAACACAGTACGAGGGTCCCGTCCAGTGGCTGGGGCAGAAGCCACTGTCCCCCCACCCAAGACCCAGGCATGGGATGCTGAGGGATTTCCTGTTCTAGCAGCCTGACAGCCAAGAGCAGCTGGTCTCCTCCTTGTTAATACCCAGAGTGGATTCACCATAATTACCCATAATGAAGAGGCTGTGTGAGACCCAGCTAATGACTTAATAACCAGGGCGGGCTGGGACTTTACCTTGAAGGCGGAAACCAGGGGCCGGTCCTGGGCCTGCGGATGGCAGGTCCACCAAGTGGGATCTCCGAGGTGCCCCGACCAGGCCTCAGAGGCCCTGAGTTCGATCAGGCTCTGTGGGTGGCATGGCTGGGCCCAACCTTGGGGAGCCACCCACGCTCACCTCCCGGCCTCACAGCCCACTCCCAGTCCTGAGCCAGGGCCTCTGTAGCCTCCTGATCCGATCACATCCCTCTCCTGCAGAATCACCGTCACCTGTGGCTCCCCTGCCTTCAGCAGGCCGTGGGGCTGCAGGTTCACCCCCGCCAACCCCACCCTCCAGACTCACTTCTCAGGACACCACCCCGCACCCCATACCCTAGCCACCCCAAAATACTCATGGGCCCCTGACTACACACGCTCCCTCTTCTTACCCTGGTGCAATTTTGTTGGCTGAGCTAATTCTCGCCATACCTTCAAGACTAGTTTAGATGCCTCCTCTTCTGGGAAGTCTTCCCTAATTTCTCCCCCTCCCACCACCCTCCATAAGCTAGTTGCCCCCACTCTCCCCTGTCCATCCTTGTTTTAACACTTGTCACACTAGGATTAGTTTGATCTCCAGAGATGACACAGAGGGACACGGATATGAGCTCCTTGGATCCACTGTGGCCGGCAGCAAAGAGCCACTAGCTACTGGTTCCTGCTAAGTTCCAGGTACTATGTGAAGCTCTACAGAGGGTATTTCCATCCCTGCTACCCAGGCTTATCTATGACTATCATCCCCATTTTACATATGAGGAAACGGAGGCTCCAAGAAATGAAATAACTTGTCATACAGCACATGAGATGTCAGGGGTGAGATTTGAAACCGGGTCTATTATCAAAAACCAAAGCTTGTTTTTCTGCCACACAGCCTCTGCGTGGCTCACTCTTGCCCCCCAGCCCGGGGTCCGGCACACAGTGACTGTTTGTGCCGTGGCTGCATAGGTGGATGGGCGGGGGCCTGCCTCACCCCCCACTAGATCATGAGGCCCCTGAGAGCTGGGACCATGGCAAGTCATCTCCGGAACCCAGGACAGAGACCATCACAATTTAGGCATTGGGTAGACGGAAGGATGGATAGTCAGGAGATGGCAGGAGGGTAAAACTCCCCCTGGGCCCTGCACTATGGGTCCCCACCCACGGCCCAGAGGAGGGCGTGGATCTGCAGCAACCGCAGGCCCACTTTCTGGGAGGGAGACCATATCAAAGTGGTCATCATAAAGGCGGCATGTGTCCACAGCAAATCAAAACACTCTTGCTTCCTCCCCAAGGCACATCCTAGCCATGTGACTGGACGCACTCCCCCACCCATGACTTTAAGGTCCAGGTTTGCCTCTGCCTCCAGGAAGCCTTCCTTCTTTTTTTTTTTAGATTTTTTTTTTTTTTTTTGATGTGGACCATTTTCAAAGTCTTCATTGAACTTGCTACAACACTGCCTCTGTTCCATACTTTGGGTCCTTGGCCCTGCAGCATGTGGGATCCCAGCTCCCTGACCAGGCATCCAACTCAAACCTCCTGCATTGGAAGGCTAAGTCCCAACCACTGGACCGCCAGGAAAGTCCCAGGAAGCCTTCCTTGACTTCCTCTACTGAACAGAGTTCCTTGTAAGGGGGAGGAATATTTCACCATACCCAGATGGGCATCCAGGGTCCCTGGGAACTCCTGAGCAGTCTAGACCCCAAGGCGCGGGCAGCTTTGGATGTTCCCACCCCTGTACCCCCTGGCAACCCAGTCTTGGGTCCGAGGCCTGAGTTCCAGGCAGAAGGCCAGAGAAACCCTTCCAGGGAACAGGGCCTCGTACAGGCCGTAAGACCCTAGGTCAGGCCCTGCCTGAGCCTTTCTCGGTTGTTTTCCCTCTTCAAGGCCTGCCAAGGGCCATGGCTGCAGGAGAGTGAGATCCCACTGGCCACTGGCACAGGGAGCGTGTGTCACAGCAGCCCGGACCGTTGTCTCAGATTTTCCTCTGGGCTCCAGGCAGGCTTGGACCCACACCCCGCCTCCCTTCCTCACCACAGCCTTATTTTTAGTCTCTTTCCTGGAGGCTGAGGTTTAGCGGGTCAAAGGACGGGCCTCACGCCCAGGAGCAGAGCCTCCTCCAGCTCAGACCACGCCCACTCCATCAGCCCCAACAGCCCGGGGCGGGCAAGGCGGGGCTCCCACCACACCCGCAGCGCCCCCCTGTCCCACGGCCACAGCTCCCGATCCAGGCCTCTCCAGGCAGTCACCCCAAATCCACAGTCACATCGTCCTCTGCCCACAGGGTCCTCCTCCCTGAGCCAAGAAAACATTCTGGAAAAGCAGGAGCACCTGAATTTTCTTACCCATTGACCCTAATTACACCCCTCTCAAGCCTCCAAGGGGCTCTCCTCTTGTCCAAGGCCAACTGCCCCTCCTGCCTCCCGGGAAGCTGGCCCGGGTCAGCCGCTGCTTGAGCTGTTCTGTCAGCATCTCCCTCACTCCTGTCTCCTGCACATCGGCGCACAAACGTGCTCGCCCCTCTCTCACCCTGGTGGTAAAAACAGTCCGGCCTCATCCCCCTGCCAGCCGCTCTTTCTCTCTCCCCGCTTCACAGCTGAAGGTCTTTTTTTTTTTTTTTTTTTTTTTTTTTAGTTCCCTGACCAGGGATTGAACCCAGGCCATGTCAGTGAAAGCACCAAGTCCTAACCACTGGACCGCCTGGGAATTCCCACAGCTGAAGTTCTTAAAAGAGTTCTCACCCCTCCCCAACTCGATGTCCTCATCTCCATCCCCCCCCCCGAAGCCAACTGCCTTCTGGTGGCTCAACCCCACAGGCTCTATCATCTCTCAGCATCCCAGCCACCTGGACCCCGATTCCACGGCTCCATCACCTACCTGGTCCACTCCCCAGAGCAGACACCTGGGAGTGGACCATGACACCCCCATTGTCTCCCATGAATGAGCCCCAATGATTCTCTCTCTCCTTCTCCAACTGCCTCCTCCCTGGACTCCCTGCCTCCAGCCTCTACTAGCCCATCCAGCATCCCTCCTGCAACCTGATCACACAAGCGCTTATCAACTTCCTGTTAAGTCCTGGGCTGGGGTTTCAGAGACCACAAGACAATCTCCGGACTCAGGGAGCTAAGGCCGTGGCACAGTGGTTGTCAACTCTGGCTAGGGCCCAGAGTCACCCATGAGGTCTTCAAAATCCATTGGCCCAGGTCCCTGGTTCAGTAATACTACTGCTAACAACAACAATAATATGGGTGTTAACGTGTACTGAGTGCTTACTACATGCCAGACACTGTTCTGAGAGTGTAACCAAATTAGGTCATTGAGGGTGGCTGCCCAGTAGAGCTTAGTGGCTCCCTATTGCCACCCAAATTAAGCCCAGACTTCTTCTAGCATTTGAGGCCTCTGTGCTCCAGGTCTGCACAATCACCCTGTCTAGAAGCTAGAGCCAGGAATCTATTAACTCGCTGCCCAGGTGATTGGAAACCACTGGCCTGGCTGG